CTCCTCCTGCTGCGCGGATTGCGAGACCGTAGACGGTAAGCCACGATTCTGGGTTAGTGGTACCGTCGTACTTCTCTATTCCAGTCGGCTTGAAGCCGGCTGGCCAATCCACTCGACGCAGGTCGTCGGTGAAGGCTGCTACTCCGTCAAGGTCGTCGTCATGGCGGTCCGGCGAATGATGATGGCCTCGAGCTGCTCGGCGCTGTATGATTGTGTCGCGAAGATCGACGGGGCGGCGACGAGGTGGTGAGCGAGGCCGTTCCACTCGGCGCTCCCTATGATGGTCGGGAGGTGAGTGAATGGACCGCTCGTCGTGACCCCTGCTCCTGCGATTGGATCCTGCGCCGGTGATGCTGAGGCTTGGATGACGGTAGTCATGAGATCGGAAGTGGGGAACTCGGCTGCCAGTCGGCGTGTGGACGCTTTCGGAGTTAACTGGGACCGAAGCCGCAATCATGGTCTTCGTCTGGTTCAAGATGTTGACGACGTGATCAGATTGATTGAGCTCGTTTTCCTTGAGGAGGGTGTCGAGGAGGGTGATCGCGGCAACCGCATTCTGCTGAGGGGTGCGGAAAACCGGTGTCCCTTCAACATCTTGTTGGCCGATGAGATCACGCGCTCGGCGCCCTGCTTCCAAAGCTCGCTGCCGTCGTTCCTCAGCCTCCTTCGTGGTCCGCTCACGCTCCTGCTGCTCACGCCGTAGCCGTTCTTGTTCTTGTGCTTGACGCTCCTCCTCTAGTCGGAGACGCTCAGCCTCGCGACGTGCTTCGGTCTCCCGGGCTTGGCGTTGCTCCTCCGTCTCGTTATCGGCCATGAAGACGCCGAAGTAGAGAGGGGTGTAGTTGTCATCTAGGCTTTCGTCGAAGTCGTCGAGATCCGGTTCGTTGTAGCGAGAGCTAAACTCGTCGTACTCCACGATGTCGGTGGGGCGCGAGTCGACGGTGGGAGAGCTGTAGTAGCCGTCCAGCTGATCCGTCGAAACCGTGCCGAGTGGTTGGAGGATGACGCCGACTCCCCTGAAGCTAGGCGAAATCGGTGTTGAAGCCGACTTCCGCCTAGGCCTACGGGATGAAGACGCTGTCGTGATGGAGACGGCCGCTAAATCGTCGGGGAGCTTCATTAGGATCGGTGGGTAAGCCCCATCATCTTGATCTGGTGTCGTTGGAGAAGATGCGATCTCGCCCGAGTGGTTTGAAGCCGACTCGATTGAGATGGTCTTGAAGTAACTTTCAGCCGCGTTTGAGAGTCCAAACGGGACTGAAAGCCGGTTCTCTCCCGACTGGGCCGACACCGAGTCAAGGAGAGAGATCTTGCCGAAGTTGTTGGTGACGAAGTCGAGGCTGCCGAACCGAAACGTCTGCCCGGGTAGGAAGACGAGGTCGTCGATGCCGGAGACGGAACCCATTGCACTGATCGGCGAAAAGCTTGACGCTTCCCCTACCTGGCGCGCCAACTGTCGAAACTAGATTTCGGCAATAATAAAAGGGGGTGGCTATCAAGCTGGAAAAGTGTATGGGTTTGGAGACGAAGGATTTATACAGGTTCAGGCCTTCTTATTCAAGAAGTAATACCCTACTCCTGTCCGGGGATGAATCCGCCGAGTGTATTATTGATTGTATGGTTTGGAGAAAATCAACCTCTGCCCCTAGAGGCACCCGGACCCCCCTTATATATGGGAAGGAGTCCGTGTTACAAAAGATAATCTATATCCCTAACGGAATATGCAGATATAGGTAAAATACAGTCGTAACCGACTAAGTCTCAAGGTGTTTCCTTGATGTACAAGTTAAGAAACGAACCCGAGATACAAATAAGATATTATATATATATTCGGTATCCTATATCCAGTCCAAATATCATCGCCGTGTAGATATGGGATATCCATAATCTCCACAGGTGACATGGCCTCCCCGCCCTCTGTCTCCCCGAGAGGTCGGGCCGCTCCCGTTTCGGCCCCGAGGGCTGGGGCGCCCCGACCCCTTGTGGTTTTGGCGCCACGTGTGTGGGTTAGGTGAGCACAGCGGCGCCCACCTAACCGCATTTATAGCGGGTTGGACGAGCGCGCCACGCCGCATTTAATGCGGCGCTACGCGCTCGCTTATCCGGTCCGTGACCGGTCGCAGTGTGTGACCGGTCCCAGAACGGTCAGATCACGGGTTAGGAGGCAACATGCGGTCTTTCACACGCCTCGCCCCGTCCCGTCGGAATGATGAGAGCCTCTAGGCACTCGTCCCTAGCCGGAGCCGGCGTGCTAACTCCTGGAGTTAGCACGTCAGTCCCGGCTAGATTCATACCAGGCTTCATCGCAACCATTACAAGGAAGTCATTTTATGAAGAAGGGCTGACGTGTGGCATGCTAAACTGACGCGTGGTAGACAAGAATGACCGGTTTGTGACTGGTCTGACGCCGGTCACGTCATCAGCAAACAACCGTGCTCCCACGTTGCACCTGCTTCCGGCGGAGTGGAGGTTGGTATGACCCATCCCATCGGAGGGTCATTCGGACAGCAGCCATTGCAAATCTCCGCCCATTAATGAAGGAAGGACAGGGTTATCCCAGTGTCAGGCGAAGGCACGAGCCAAGTTTTGGTCAAAGTAGGGTGGGTCCCCACCCAAAAGAAGGGTAGTTAGAAATGGTGCATGTGGTATCCCCTTGAGATATAAAAGGAGGACCATGCCTACCAAGGGGGGACGGGAGCTGAGAGAGGAGAGAGGAGAGAAAGAGAAAGAGGAAGAGGGTTTCTAGAGCTTGAACTCTCTTACTCTTCAGCTCTTTGTAACTCCTTCACACACAGATCCACCAGAACACAGGAGTAAGGTATTACGCTTCTCAGCGGCCCGAACCTGTCTACATCGCCCGTGTCTTGTGCATTTGCTCTCTCGCGAAACATTCCACAGATCGAGGGCTTAGAACCTCACCTAGCGCCCCCGGCCGAACCGGCAAAGGAGGGCCTGCGCGGTCTCCCGGTGAGGAGCCCCACGCTCCGTCAAAGTTGTTTCAAAATTGTATTCCTACTTGAACTCGCTTTTATTTTTTCTAATTTTGGATATTATTTTATTTTTTATTCTGAATTTTAATTAATCTCGTATTGGTTTCTTATATGGATTCTTCTTTCAATATTGCTTACTTTTTATTCCGAAATTCAGCTAATTTTAAATTGTATTCCTACTTTAACTCTTCTTTTATTTTATTTTTTGCTAATTTCGGATTTTTTATTTTTATTCCTAATTTTAATTAATTTTGTATTAGGTTTTTATATGGACTCTTCTTTTAATATTCCTTATTTTTTATTCCGAATTTCAGCTATTTTAATTATATTCCTACTTGGACTATCCTTTTCTTTTCTAATTTTGGACTTTATTTTATTTTTATTTCAAATTTTGATTAATCTCGTATTGGGTTCTTATATGGAAACTTCTTTCAATATTGCTTATTTTTAATAATATAATAGATATGTTAAAATGACAACATAATTTTAAATTTTGCAATAACTTTAAAAAACTACTAATGTGTAATATTCATATTGTATATTATATACGTGTTAGTTATTAATTATTTTTAATACCAAATTTTAGTTATTTGTAAATTATATATATTCCTATACGTATTCTAGGCTCGTCTTTTAATTTTTTAAATTCCAAATTTTCTATAAATTGTATTTCTATATGGACTTTATGCTCTTCTTCCAATATTATTTATTTTTATTTCTGATTTTTTATTATTTCTAATTGTATTTCTATGTGTACTCTAAACTTATCTTTCAATATTCTTTAATTTTTAATTTCGAATTTAAGTTACTTCTAAATTTTATTCCTATATTGACTTTAAACTCTTCTTCCCATGTTTTTCTTAATTTCGAATTTTAGTTATTTGTAAATTGTATTTTTATACGGGCTCTAAACTCTACTCTTAATAATTATGTTTATTCCAAGTTTTAGTTAGTTTTAAATTCCTATATGGACTCTATTATCTACTTATAATATTCCTTATTTTGTAATTTCGAATTTCTATTTTTTTTCTTAATTGTATTTCTATATGGACTCTATAATCTACTTCTAATATTCCTTATTTTTAATTCTAAATTTCTGTTATTTCCTAATTGTATTTATATATGGACTCTATACTCTACTTCTAATATTCCCTATTTTTAATTCTGAATTTAAGTTATTTCCTAATTATATTTCTATATGGACTCTATACTCCACTTCTAATATTCCTTATTTTTAATTCCGAATTTCAGTTATTTCCTAATTGTATTTCTATATGAACTCTAGTCTCCTCTTCTAATATTTCTTATTTTTTAATTCCAAATTTCAACTATTTCTAAATTGTATTTCTATATGGACTCTAGGAGTCTCCTCTTCTAATATTCCTTATTTTTTTAATTCCGAATTTCAGCTATTTCTAAATTATATTTCTATATGGACTCTGTTTTTTCTTTTTCTCCGATTAATATGAGAATTTCTAGGCCATGAGAGCGAACGTGGATGCTCTTTTTTCTATTTCTTTAATAATATAATAGATTTGAACCAAAATTTACCAGACATCATAAAGAATGGGCGAAATAGGAGGTCAAAGGTGTTTCGTGCTTCACCTAAATGGACAAATTTCGTTGAATTTCGGGCCATATTTGGTCAGAATCGTTGAACCCTACTGCACGTGCACTTGTATTTATTTTTCTGCGGCAAGTACTAAATTGACTTTTCTTATACTTTTTCCATCCCATAAAAAACTACTATAGTACTAGACACGACGCATCCTATTGCTACGAATCTGAACATAACTATATTAAAATTCGTTGTATTATAATGTGTTATATTCAGTTCTAGATTTGTTTGTTTTGTTTGTTTTGAACGGAGTGAGTACAATATTAATGATGGAAGAAAGAGGGTAAATAATTGGGTTTGAATCCAATCACCGGATAATCACTCGAGTCTATCTTAAGATTTTTACTTAACCATTGCGGGCTGAATCATTTGCACTTTTACTCCATCTAATCACGAAAACCCATCGTTTTGAGCCCTTTTCGAGTTGAACTATTCCGACTTGAGTATCCACTGCGTGTTTACTTCGCAATGCATCGACTGCGTCACCATGCCGCCCTCGCCTCCTCCCGCCTCCTCGTCCGCGACAACCAGCGCATCACCGCGCTCGCCCGCGCCGGCGACGTGGCCGCCGCGCGCAGGGTGTTCGACGCCATGCCCCGCCGCGACGCCGTCTCCTGGAACGCGCTCCTGACCGCGCTGTGGCGGGCGGGCCGCGACCTGCCCGCCGCGCGCAGCCTCTTCGACGATATGCCCTCCCGCAACGTCATCTCCTGGAACTCCATCATCGCCGGATGCCTCGCCCACGGCGACCTCGCGGCCGCCTCCGCCTACTTCGCGCGCGCCCCGCGCCGCAACGTCGCCTCGTGGAACGCCATGCTCGCCGGCCTCGTCCGGCTCGGCAGCATGGAGGACGCGCGGTCGCTGTTCGACCAAATGCCCGAGAGGAACGTGGTGTCGTACACCACCATGGTGGATGGGCTCGCGAGGTGCGGGGAGGTCGCTAGCGCGCGAGAGCTGTTTGACGCAATGCCTACAAGGAACTTGGTTTCGTGGGCTGCAATGATAAGTGGGTATGTCGACAACAACATGTTGGAAGAGGCAAGAAAATTGTTCGAGGCAATGCCAGAGAAGAATGTTGTGGCATGCACTGCGATGATCACAGGGTATTGCAAGGAGGGCGATTTGCAGAACGCCAGAAGGCTGTTTGATGGGATTCGTGCCAAGGATGTCATATCTTGGAACGCCATTATTTCTGGTATGCTACACAGATTACAGTTTCCTTTCTTACCCATCTTCTTTCTTTTTTTATTATACTTGGAGTACCAGTGAAGGTGGTGATTGACTGATTTGAAATTTAAAGTTGATCTGATTCATCCTTCAATTTGTATTTTTACATCTTAATTTACTTGACTGCCATTTTAGTAAAGGTTCAGAAAACTATCCAGGTTCTGGTTTTTTCCAATTTCCAGGAGCTATTCAATAGTTCAGTTCATCCCCTTTAACCTGCTCATCACAGGCCAACATACAAATATGGTTTCTCTAGAAGGTAATAGTTTGGTCCTTTACGCTGATAAAAAAAAGCTCGGCTCTAGTGTACAAAATTGTACGGTGAGGTGGGCATGTCAGCTGTTGAACATTGCAAGGTTTGTTTCATTGGATTATAGTGTTTCAAGCTTCAACTCGTCTGTAACTGTAACCCTTGTATCTCAGTTTCTGTTCGAGAAAATGGGGTAGGGATGGGTAGGGGATTTTATAACAAATATAATGCAATAAATAAGCAGATCTTTGCATTGAAAATTCTCGCAGTTAGCCTTTCCATGTTTCTGCAGGATATGTTCATAATGGACTTGGAGAAGAAGCAACGAAACTGTACATCATAATGCTTAGAGAAGGTATCAAACCAGATCAGGCAACACTTATTGCACTACTGACAGCATGTTCTTCTCTTGCTCTGCTCAGACAAGGAAGATCAACACATGCTGTTGTCATCAAAGCTATGTTAGAATCAAGCATTTCTATTTGTAATGCTTTGATGACAATGTATAGCAAGTGTGGCAATGTTGACGAGTCTGAGTTAGTCTTCATGAGTCTCAAAAGCCAGGATATTGTTTCTTGGAACACAATAATTGCCGCATATGCACAACATGGCAGATATCAGAAAGTTATTGCTCTGTTCCATGAGATGGAACTGTGTGGACTGATACCGAATGATATTACCTTCCTTAGCATGTTATCAGCGTGTGGACATGCTGGCAGAGTGGATGAAAGCTTGAAACTGTTTGATCTTATGTTTTCCAAATATGCAATATCTCCAAGAGCAGAACACTATGCTTGTATTGTGGATATATTGAGCCGAGCAGGACAGTTGGAGAAAGCATGTAGTTACATAAAGGAAATGCCTTCTGAGGCTGAGAAGAATGTTTGGGGCACTCTACTTTGTGCTTCTCAGACACATGGTAATGTTCAGTTGGGTGAACTTGCTGCTAAGATGCTTGTCCTATCAGACTTTGAAAGTTCAGGGGCTTATGTGATGCTTTCAAACATATATGCTGCTGCTGGCATGTGGGGTGAAGTCAATCGAGTAAGGAGCCAAATGAAGGAAAAAGGTGTGAAGAAGCAACCTGGACATAGCTGGACAGAGATTGCTGATAAAGTTCATATGTTTGTTGGTGGTGATGCATCCCATCCTGAGATGGACATGATCTTATCCGAGCTGAGAAAAATTAGCTTTCATATGCAGATGGTCACTGATAAAACTCAGATGATGGAAGAGCTAGTTCAAGAATGTGGTTAGTGCTTTTTATATCATCCAAATTCTCGTGCGAGTTTAGTAAGCTCTGCTGTACTCAGAATCTCCAGCTTTGTGCTCTAGGATCAAATTTCTATGAATAGATTATTCATATGAGATACATGAATTCCCAGAATGGATTTTAATCAAACGAGTACAGTGGATGTTGCTTTGATGACAAAGATATATCTCTTTGCAAAAGGAGGGTTGAAACTAGACATGAGAAGGAGCATATTTTGGAGGTAACAGCTACATTTATTGATCCTAACTTAGGACTTTACAGGCTTTGCAGCCAGTTGGCTAAAACTGATGATTTCAGGTCAATTGACCCAAAGGAAAGTGCTATCGTGTTTCATACAGATCGAAGTTGGTGTTCCACATAATCAATCTGTAGTTAGGCCTGGTAATGGGTCGTGGCCCACCCCGAACCCCACCCCTGCCCATTTCTATTTATATATTGCACCCAAACCCCACCCTAACCCACTAACATGCATATTTAGCCCAGACCAACCCCAACCTGTAACCTTCTCAGTGCTTGTTGAACCCTAACCCTTTGTGAACCCTTGGACAACCCATAAACAATGAAGAGACTAACCCATTGGGCTCAGCACGACAGCACGTCAACCATACAACAACTGTAGAGCCTTCGCACATACATGAAAATGAAGCTTTGTATACATGCATAGCACAGCTATAGGGAGTAAGACAAATAATTTTCAGATAAGTTAAATAGAGATTACCACAAACTAAGCCAGGTTTAAGTATATGACTGAACTTTCTTAAGACATACACAATAGTTTAGCAAAATTAGGCCACAAATAGGCACGCCTTGAAACTAATAAACATCTATGAATCATATCAGAATTTTTTCATTCAAAAGTACTAGCAAGATCTATTGATGCTTAATCTCAGCCTTCCTCTTATGCCACAGCTTGTCCAGTGCAATGTTTCCATCTCCCTGTAGAAACAAAATGAGGTTAGAAGTTAGAACCTATTGAAGGAGGCATCAGTACAATAATCCATGTTCCTATACTTAAGCAATGGAAATTCAGAATTGCTTTACTCCTTCCAGTTGCTTAATCATTCACCAATTCATAGTCTATCAAGTTACAAACAGAATTAGAAGTTGCAAAATCAAGTTGAACACAGGGGTTAAAAACATTTATCACCAGTTTAGGTCTATGTTGAGGACAGAACAATCCGGTGCAACAATAAATATATAGTGCAGATCAAGCTACATCTGAATAGATATGTAACTCTAAGTATATTACTTAGAAACAAATTGAAAATTTATACTAGTTGACATCAAGTAAGTTTTATTACAGTATAAATTAAATTACCAACTTTCAGTTAATCTCAAACAGAAGAGCAGCTAGTTCGACCAACACAGTTTCAGATTATATATGTGTGTTTATTTAAAATCCAAGATATATACAACTTAATGTATTACAAGTTGCAGAAGTACAAATCATTATATGCCCAGAATTTTCTCTATTACAGATTCCTAAAATTCAATATGAGTTACAGTTAACTTCTCGGAATAATCATCACAAAGAACTAATAATCTAAAACATGATATTCGTTAAAAAAATCATTTCAGTGTCAGTAGTACAACTGAAAGTGGCAAAGAAGGCTTTTGACACAAAGAGGGACTAGCAAGAATAACAATGCCTTGAAACAATATTCGTTCCTCTGCATATACTTCTTATTTAAGAGAATCCTATGATCTCTCTATACAAGCTTATACATTATATTCAATGTCTAATCTAATCCTAATAGCTTTTTACAAGTTTGTACTGTGAATCGGCAAACTAACAAGCAATCCCTAGCTGGATTAACAATTTCAACATGTGATCAAGATTTGCTTCATTCAGATGTTAGCAGAGCAATCTAATCCGCTGCACCGAAACCAAGAACAAAAATAGCAATGCCTGTAGCAAAGAAAACAAACCTTGGTTGCAGAAACCGACTTGCAGAGAAAGGGTTGCGCGGTGCTGTGGATCTCGAACAGGAGGCGGAGGCGACGGAGGACGGCGGCGCGGTGCCGGATCTTGACCGGGAGGCGGAGGACCGACAGCTGGTGGAGGCGTACGACGCGCCGGCGGACGGGGTGGCGTGATCTGGACGGGAAGGACAGAGCGTCGGCGCTCGCGGACGGGGACCGGGACAGCGACGGAGGATCGCGACGGGGAGGGGGAGGAGGAGGCGGAGGCGGAGGGGGAGAATGCGGCGCAAGGCGGCGGTGGGCAGTGGCCGCCGATCCAGTCACCGAGCTCCTACCGCTGTGGGTTCTCCCACAAAGAAGACCCTTTTTTACTGCCCATGGGCTGAACCCCATTCTGAGCTACAGTGTCCAACCCATCGTAACCCTCATTTTATATGGCCCAACCCAACCCTGCCCTTATTCCTTCCTATAACCCATACAAGACACACCATTTTCAGCCCATTAGTGTTTCAACCCGTACAACCCATGGGTTGGCTAGCCCATTACCAGGCTTATCTGTAGTTCCCCATAAATATCTTGACGGGATGTGTTTGCTTGTTGCAATATTACTTTGGCCTAGTTGGACAGAAAGGGAAGAAGTCTGTTCATTCTGCTTTGGTATATTAATATAACGGAGTTAGTTACGTTTTCAAGGATGGCTTTCAATTAAAAGCTGGGCCACTGGCCTCTTTTCTAAAGAAAGCTATGTTTTCCAAAAAAAAAAAAATCAATACTCCATGAAGGATGATTTCATGGCAGATAAAATGAAGCATACATGAACAACCTTCATCAGGAAAAATAAATTATTAGGCACTTACCTGTGTTTACCCAAAGAGAAAGTCACTTTTATATTGAAAATTAGAGGGGCCGAGATAAAGTGCTATGTTATGTAGCAACTTTACTCAACCAGTCTGCTTAATATACATTGGTCGGAATCTTGGCCGACCCGGCGAAAAAAACTTTACTCAACCAGTCTGCTATTTACAAATCAGATTTTAATAGCTGCGTGCTATTTTCGGAGAAATCTCTTGTATTTCATTTCCAAGTTTGAACAATACAAGTTCATTATGATTTTATACGCTACATAAACAAAGAAACATGCAATTCATTAGTACCTTAGAAGGGTAGGTTGAATATAATATAATATAATAATCTGACCGATTTTATTAATAGAAGTGTTTCAGTTATCTGGAAATTTAACTTTGGACAGACTTGAATCACAAAACAAGGACTTCAAAATGCATATTGTAATATTTCTGCACTAGTCAAAACAATTCAAGATTTCCACATCAAGACTTTACACCTAGTGGATTCCAAAATGCAGAGAATGTATAAAAAGAGCCAAGAGAATTTGAAAGCTATGCTGGTTTCATATTCCAACATCTGTATTATATACACATATGCTTCATAGGTTTACACATGCAACGCCAAGGTTTAGTCAAGGCATATCATTTCAGTTTGCCAGATTGAATTCTCAGCATTCCAACTGTCTTGTGAACGACTTTGAAGAGCAAAAGATAATCTGAAGTTGTATTTGATTGCTGTCTAAGGATGTTAGATTGCACTTTGAGAGTTTCTTTTCTTCATTATGTCAGCAAATTTTCTGAGAACTGTCCTCTTTTTGTGCAGCGCAGGATTCCTGATATCCTCCAACTGGGTTCTTTCGTGGTCATAATACACCTCATTTCCCTTGGTATCTCTGGGTGATGCTTCTGCTGAGGTTTTGGTCGACTCTGAACTGAACATAGCATCAATCATATCCTTTAATTCTCCAATACTACTTTGTGCCGCAGACTCGCTTACCTTGAGGGACTCATAGTCTTGTATGATGCTCTGTAAGGTATTCTCTTTCTCAGATATGTCTTCTTTAAGCTGAGAATTCTCTGCCCTGGCAATCTCCAAAGATTCTTTTGCTACATTAGCTTCACACACTGCATGCTTCAACATTTCTCTCAACCTGGAATTCTCATCTCTGATCACCCTTTGTGATTCGATCAATTTATTATTCTCCTCCTTTGCTTTGATGAGATCCCCCTCAAACATCTTGATGCAATCAACCAGTCCCCTCTCTTTCTCTTTTGAGGCTGCTGCTAACTCATCTGACTCAAACTTCAGTTGCGCTGCCTCTTCCAGTGCTACCTGGAGCTTCTCCTCTGTGTTTTTAAGCAAGGCCTTTGAGTTCTCCATTTCAGTTCTTGCATTAGTCAACTCAGATTGCGCTAATGAAAGTTTCGCTTTTGCATCTCTGGCATCAGTTGTCTGTTCCTTCAAAGCTATTGCCAAATCATCCATGGCCTTCTTGCACTTCTCCTCAGCTTCGACAGCCAACTTGAGTTCACGCTGTAATGACCACGTCTCTACCTCACCAGGATCAGCAAAGGAGAAAGACATTATTCCCCTTCTCCTGAGATTCCTAGCCGGTTGGCTAGGATTAGAAGACAGTGCACTGAAGGCTTCCGAGCTCTTTTTATTATCTTTGAGGGAAGCAATCTCAAGCTTGGCCTCCTCCAGAGATACCTTGGTTTGTTCAAGCTGCTTCGTTTGGGCCCCCAATGACACTAGCAGTTTCTTCTCTGAATCCCTTGCTGCCTCCTGTTCACCTTCTAACTGCTCTAATCTGTGCACAAGGTCCAACTTATCATCACCTCCATTGCTTGTCACCTTATTCTCATTCTTTTTCTTCTTGAGCCCTGCTATCTCATCCAGAGCACGCGCCTTCTCCTTTTTCTCATTCTTCAGCTCTTCCTGCAGCTTGTTCAATTTCTCCTGCATCTCTGATGCCTCGGTGATTGAATTGGAGGCTTTGTCACCATTGGAAGTTGATCTGACGCTGTCAACAAAAACATTGTTCATGTTGATTCATGGATTGGTGGAAATCATCAAAACAGTAAATCTAAAAACAAGGAATTAAACAGAAATTCCACTCAATGAAAACCGAGATGTCAAAAACTCACAAAATGATTCCAGAACTTGAAAAAGAAAAGTTGGGAATAGACAATTACTCTACCTGGACCTGAAGGAGAACATCTTGTCCATTCAAGAACCCTGCAGCCAGCCCAGAATTAGCCGACCATGCCACCTGCGTTCCTCCAAAGTCGTATACTATGAAACCCAAAATTCTATCAGTAAGATAGAGAAACAGAGAATACGGTGTTACTCTGAAATGGTGGTGTCCGCATACCGGAGGCTACGGTTGCTCCTGGGTATAGAAGTAGAGATCATACCGCGTCTTTCGCGTTGCCAGAGGAAGGAGAAGATGAAAAGGCTTATTGAAGAAGGCAAGGAATTGAAACCGTCCAAACCTCGAGAGCCGCCTTGAAGGGTAAGCAGAAAAGCACAGAAGCGGTCCAAGTTTGTTTTCTTCAGAATTTTAGATGTACCCATTTGTTTATTTATTAATTATTAGGACTGTTGTCCAGTTGAGTTGTGCTTCTCTGTCCTGACCATCGACATCAGCTGGCCCCAGCAGTCAGCCAAAGACGCCAGTTCCTCTAGGTATGTTTCCTTGTATATATCATCATCATATATTGACTACCTGCCTCTCACCCTCTTCCTCGCTCATTGATGCTAATATTATCGAGACTACTATGATTTTGGTATTTATTAGCTCGCGTGCACGTATTGCCTATTGGAATCTTGGATTTATGTTTGTGGCGTATGCTTGATCGATTTACATTTGATGCTTTACAAGTTTGGTGCTATTAGCCATAACACCGTCCTGCTTTTGTTTATACTCTTTTTGTTATTCATGACGCGTGGGCACAGACCGAAAGCAATTGCTGGTAATTAAATTTGTTTTAAACCCTTTCTATATGCGCATCTTTGGGTATTTTTTGTGCACATTTTGTTAAGGCTACTGAAAAGGTGAATATTTACTGTCTGGAAATGGAAGGGCGTTTATTACGTGAAATATATTAGGTAACTGACCCGCATCCTAAAGCGTGCAAATAGTCTCGTGGTTGGTGAATTACTGAGTTGGTTAATGGTTAATGCTGATCGGTCTCATATTTGTTCTCTCTAAAAAGCCAAGCGTACTATGCTAAATATTTAGGCAAATTTTGCTGCAGAATATCGTGACTTCTCGTGGTTTTAGCTGTAGGACACTGCACGAAATCACTAATGAGAAAACGCTACAGAACATCGTGACTTCATAGTTTTAGCGGTAGGACACCATATGAAGTCACTTATAAGGGAACACACTCTGTAAATGTGGTTATTTATCCGAGGACACTCCATCCATTAAATTAATGTTTTCGTGCTAACTAGACGAGAGGGGGCCTACTTTTTTACACAACTTGACCAAATTGCCCCTCCTCTCTCATTCTCATCCTCCTTCCTTATCTCTTCATCTCTCTCTCATTCTCTTTTACAAGGCGGCGGAGGCCTGCTCAACAGCGGCGGCACGCGTGACCTGCTCGGCGGCGGTGGCGGAGCCCGGAGCACGCGTTGCCCGCTTCTTCCCCGCCTCCTTTCTCGCGATGATGGCGTCTTTCGTCGACTTGACATCACAATTGAACAGCGGTTCTTGGCCGCGCCCAGCTCGGCCCGAAGCAGCTCATGCTCCTCGCCAAGCGGCATGGAGGAGGGGATAGAGGGAAGAGAGATAGGAGAGCTAACATGTGGGCCCAAGGGCATTTTTGATATTTTACGTGATTTCTCTCTCATCTTCAACCGAAAATTATTATTTTAATGAGTAAGATGTCCACTAGTAAATATCTAACTTTTGAGAGTTTCTTCCTCAAAAGTCACTTCGTGCGGTATCCTACAGCTAAAACCGGTCACTTCGCGCGGTATACTACAGCTAAAACCGCGAAGTCATAGTGTACTGTAGCAACATTTCCCAAATCTTAAACACCTAAATCTTCTTTTTCTCACCTTTAACTCCTAGACTATGCCCCTTGTAGGAGTAGATTTTTTGTTTTTATCTAAGAGCATGTTCAAAGATAGAATCGGTATGATCTGCTATACTATACAAGATTATTTAGAAACTACATCCATACAATAATTAAGACAATAAAACTCTAAGCATTAACCCAATATATATGTTTTTATTACTGTTCTCTCATTTTCATCATATTCCTATGTAACTACTATGTAATTGAGTGTAGCTGTAAGTTGGATATGTAAAAGCACGAATCTTGATGCAAGATCTTACGAATAAAAAAGTGAAAAATAGGAGCATAAAAATCTGGTGCAAGTTAAATAGCAAAATGGTTAAAAAAAAAACTCCTATGTACCCATTCCATAAGAAATTTAGCATAAGCTCACATCTCATGTTTTATTTTTCTTCGCTACGTCCAATACACGTTCTCTCTCTACGATTTCCAGCAAAATTCTTGTGTTTTAAACTTTTAATTCATGTGAATCATCCAACGACATTATCTTTAACGTTCTTCTAGTTATTTTTTTCCTATTTCTGTATTTTGAAAATCCACATTCCAAATGATCACGCTTTCTCTAGGATTTTTCCTATTCCTACGTTTGTTTCCCAAATTACTAAACGGTGTTTTGCTTACAAATATTTCTATTAGAAAATTATTTGAAAAAACATATTAATCCATTTTCAAGTTTAAAATAATTAATACTCAATTAATCATGTACTAATAACACACCTCGTTTTAATAACACGCCTCGTTTTATGTGTATTCTCATTTTTTTTCTTTTTCCTCTCAAACACTTCATAAGAACCAATCTTTTTCTTTCCCCTCCTCTCAAACATTCCAAGAACAGACTCCTCTCAAACACTCCATGAGCATCCCTCCTTTCCCCGCCTTGTTCCTTACTGTAAGTTTGTAACGGTAATATTAACTCAACTATGAGAATTGTTAGACTTTATAATTTTATTAGGATATAAAATTATTGATTGGAGTTTTTGTGAGTTACTTCCTCCGTCCAAAAATCAAGGCCTATTTTCCTTTTTTTTTTTGGTTTTTTCAAAAACCTAAGAGCTATTTGTAGTCTCTATAGAGCTACGTGCTAAATTTGTTGGGTGCAACCTAAGAATACATGGGTTTTATCACATAGTGAATGAGTTAATTACTCACTGCTCTGAATAACAAAATAAATATAGGTCTTATATTTCTGGATGGAGTAGATCGTATCTTTGACATCTTGGCCCAATTAGGAATTGGCATGTGTGGCTCATGAGAGCTGTGTGCGCATGTTTAGTACCACCTTGCAAGTTTAGCAAAGTTGAAATCAACTTAGAAGGCCTCTTCCCTCCAACCATGTCACTCTCAAGTTAATCCTTTTATACGAAACGAGGACGAAAATGTAAGTGGAGTGGTATGTGTAAGTGGGCTCACCCGTCAGTTGGGTTAGGCTACATGTTTTTGGAGGGAGGGCTGTGACAAATGGTATCAGAGCCGATTCTCGCAGTTGTACGTATGGGTCGGTGTGCGAGCATATGGCTCATGTGGCATCTATGTTGAGGCACATGGCATGGCGTATGGCGCCGGCCCTAGACGACTCTCGGGTTAACTTTTTACACGAGGTGAGGATGAAAAAGTGTAAGTGCAGTGTTATGTGTAAGTGGACCGCCCGTCAGTTAGGCTTGTGACGGTATCTAAACCTAATAATGGAGTAGTGGTACTTCATTAGCCACAGTCCACGGTGCGCCAGAGCTATCAAATGATATAAGCATTTGATGATTCATCAGCAACGATCCATCCTATAGACGATACGATTGGTTCCCAACGGAAATAATTCTGATTCTCCACGATTCCCCTCCGAATATCTTTGGGTGGAAAAGCAAACAAGACAGCACAAAAGTTCAATGGCATAATTAATTTAATCAATTATCGAACATACTAATTCATTGCACATGGTCGCACGCCATACGCCTGTTTGCAGCTGCATGGTTGCAATTATTTGGCCTCTAGCTGTTTGCATCTTTCCTCCCAGATCAAGCAGTGATTATTGTTGTGTAAATTACACAACAAGCTCAAACCAAAGCCTAATCATCAGTCCATCACAAATCATCAGTTAAATATCGAACAAGCATAGCCATTCAATCATAGTAAACAAGAGTTGACAATCCTTGTCCTAGTTAAAGGCTTGAGGCACTCTCCCACACACGAGCAGGATTCCAGCAGGAAAGTAACAAATAATACATGAGGATGGCGATAGCAATATAAGTAAACAAAGGGTAAGCAAAGACCCGACGAAAGGACACAAGAAAATGGTCCTTGTACAAGCATCATAACTACCCCCAGCGGTTAAGAGACAGACGACTGTCACTAGGATCTTTAGCTAGTGCTCATCCTCAGGCTTGGTTGCATCCCTCATTTCATCACCTCCATCGTCCTGTACATATAGAACAGTTAGCACCAGTGGCAATAGTATGGCAAGTGTTGTGTTCATAAGTTTTTTGCATTTTCGACTAGCATATACACCGATCTACCTGCATATCAGAAGTCCACAAAGTGAGATTGTCGCGAAGAAGCTGCATGATCAGGGTGCTGTCCTTGTAGGATTCTTCCCCAAGGGTATCCAGTTCCGAAATAGCTTCATCGAAGGCCTACATAAACCAGAAAGTATGATCACATAGTGAATGAGTGAAATACAACATGAGCTGCCTATTATCAGTAATTTAGTTTTTCTGTTGTACCCAAAAAAGTTTCACAGAAATGTATGACCTTGGACAACTAGACTTCTGAAGGCAGGAATTCAAAGCAATAATACCACTAGAAGATACAATGTTGTACATCAATACATGCATATCATCAACAGCATGGGACTATGTCCCTTATAGAATTGACTCCAAAAGAACACTTGAGGAGCATAAGCTCATTGCAACAAACATATACAGCTACATAATTATTGGCATTCATGAGCAAACAAGTTTGTCAGGCCAGACAGATGAGCGGTATGGTACACTTCTTTTGTTAACTAAGCAACCCATGCCATGACTTAAGCCTGCACATAGCAAGCAGGCATATGGGCCACCACTCTGCAAGATAACAGCGGTCACATCTTGGATGCATGCGGCAATTTGAGCCGGCATGGATCACAGATTCTCACAGCTAATACAGGATGCCAACTTGCCAAGCAACCATGACCAGATATCCAAAGCAGCTAAAGCACTACGGAATGCAACTGTAACTGAAGAATTTCACACTCTCTGAACACTGTAGGCTCAGTGAGGCATGAATCATACGGAAGCAAGCATTACAAGTCTACAAGATCTACCTTGGCATGAAAAAAACTCTAAATATTGGAGGACCAATTGGACAAAGAAACTAATAAATCAGCTGGAACCTTACCATTGGCAAGCAACAAATTGTAGATCTACACACTGTTCTTTGAACTGACTAACTCGGAAGGTAAGCAAATCACCTGCTTGGCGAGCGTGCACGCGCGGTCGGGCGAGTTGAGGATCTCGTAGTAGAACACGGAGAAGTTGAGCGCAAGGCCCAGTCTGATGGGGTGCGTCGGCGACAGCTCCTTCATGGCTATGTCCTAGAGAAAGGAAAATCCCCAAGATCCAAAATTATTTTTAGTCAAATTGGTCGGATAGGTCAGCAAGAAAAGATGGGAGATGTTCGTGGAGGAAGAGTAGGGGTACCTGCGCGGCCTGGTAGGCGGCGAGGGTGGCGTCGGCGGCGTCCTTGCGCTCGGCTCCGGTCTTGAACTCGGCGAGGTAGCGGTGGTAGTCGCCCTTCATCTTGAGGTAGAAGACCTTGGCGTCGACGGCGGCGGCGGCGGGGACGAGGCGCTCGTCGAGGAGGCGGAGTATCCCCGCGCAGATGTTGGAGAGCTCGGCCTCGACGCGGGCGCGGTAGGAGCGCGCGGCGGCGGCGTGGCCCGCGGCGCCGCGGCCTTCCTCCTTCTGCTCGATGGAGGACACGATGCGCCACGACGCCCTGCGCGCGCCGATGACGTTCTTGTACGCCACGGACAGCAGGTTCCTCTCCTCCACCGTGAGCTCCCCACCCCCGCCCGCCGCCGCCGCCGTCACCACCTTCTCCATGAACTCCACCATCTCCTCGTACCTCTCCGCCTGCTCCGCCAGCTTCGCCATGTACACCATCTCCTCCCTCGTCCCTCCTCCCGCCGCCGCCGCCATCGTCTCTCTCTCTCTCTCTTGCGGATTCGGGTGGAGTTGAGTTGAGCCTGTGAGTGGGTGGGGGCGACCAGAAGAGGGGAGGAACCGAGGAAGGAGAAGAAGTGGGGAGGAGCGGCTGCGGTTTTAAAACGAGGTGTGGTGTCTGTGGTCACTTTTGCCTTTCTTTTTTATTATCGCTTTCTCTCTTTCTTTCTTTTTTGTCCCTTTATTAGTTTTTTTTTCCTTCTGTTCTGCGCCGTAGTAGTAGAGGTGTTGGAGATAAGAACGAGAACGAGGGAGGGGTGCGAGATTTGTTTCAGTTAAAAAAAATGATATCCATGTGTTAGCTTCTGAATAGCTGGATTTTTTTTCCTCCCTTTGGGAGGGGGGCGAGATTGGACGGATCTTTGTATATGTAGCACTGTAGAATAAGTTTATCTCTTGTCCCTTAACTTGTCAACGAATCTTATCTTCGTCCTTCAATCGAAAAACCAGAGATAATAGGTCTCTCAACTATCAAAACTGGTACATATGATGTCCCTCGGCAGTTTAGATGGTGGTTTTGGCTGACGTAGTGGCTACGTGACTGATTTGACTCGGTTTTCATCTGGTGTGGTATTGACGTGGCGCTTATATGTCAATTTGATCCGGAAAAATAATAAAACCTGTGGGACCCACATGCCAGTTTCGTAGACAAAATAATTAAAAAATGGTGAGACCCATGTGAGCCCCACATGTCATTCTCACACAGTATCACTTTTCCTTGCCAAGTTATAGAGAAAGATTTTAAGTATGTCTCCTTGAACTGCTACATCATTTGTTCCGTGTCCGCCTTCTGCTCATATGACAGATCTTCAGCCTTGACAAGGACGATGTTATCTTTGTCAATTTCTGAAGTTGACATGGTGAATGAATGTTTTCATCCCACTGGACGTGCCAAAAGCTTGTTACTGGGAAAACACGACGACATGGGAGATCTGCTTAGCTCCAGTGCAAGTCAATGGCCTGCCTAGTGCGCTTGTAGGGCGTGCCAGTTAGTTTGATCCTGCAACTAGCAAGAAACATAGAAACATAGTTAGGGTGTATTTGGTTGTGCTGTGGCTTTTGGAAAAACTGATGTGGGCTGTGGAAAAGCAGTTGTGGAAAAAGCAGAAGGCCGTTTGGTTAGAGCAGTTGTGAAACTGTAGGTTGTAGAAGAAATACCTGTTGTCGGTGATATAGGTCCGGGGTAAAAAACTTAAAGGGAAGAAGCCCCCCCCCCAACTTTCACGTGGCGCTCCCCCCACCCCCCGAGGGGGTCGGTCCCATGGATGGGTGGCAGTCGCCCCTTCCGAGCCTGAGGGGTCGGGCTACCGGCGGTCACCATGTGGCCACCGAGCGTATGAGGTTAGGTGGACGCTCCCCGGCGTCTACCTAATCGCATTTAGTGCAAGCGGAGCGAGCGCACCACGCTGCATTAAATGTGGCGTGCTGCGTGCCTGACTAGCATGCGACCGGTATGTGACCGGTCGAATAACAGATGGGACGGCGGCAAGCCACACGCGTTCTACCCGAGTGTCAGGCGGCGTGCGGCAGGTATGCCCCGTCCCATCATGATGATGAGAGGTTATGGGCCTCTCAACTGATCTGGAATCGGCTTGACCGCTCTGGACATGCCCGAGATTGTGTTCCTGGTGCACGCGTGTCCCCAAATCCTTCTCCATTAAATGCGTGTGGGCCTACGTCACCCGTGTCAGCCGGCATGATTTGATGGGCCCCACACAGCAGCTGACGTGCAAATAGCTTCCGGGTTAAGGCACGAGACACACATTTAATGTAGAGAATATTTTTCCCTCTTCACTAATTGTCACTCACAGCGCGTGTGGGAACCCCTTGGAGTATAAAAGGAGGTCCATGTCACGGTCCCCCACTCAAGGAGTTCATCCTCCGACACCTGTAATGCCCCTAAAGGCCTGTGGGACTATTTATATGCAAATTACTCGTGAAAACCTATTCCGTTTAATATTGCATATTTAAATAGCTAATTTGGAAAGAGAAAATATATGTTTCCATGCATCAAAGTAATATGGCCAACATGAATAGAACAAAACATAAATGGTTTATACAATGATGCCATATCTCAAAATAACTATTCTCCTCTTGCACTAACCAACCAAAGCATCAGCTATCCTAGTACAAATAGTGTTCACGGTATCAGCATTCTCAACATCTTCACTCTCATTGTATGCCATGTCACTTGTATCTTGTACTCCCTCCATCCCAAAATATAAGGGAGTTTGGAGGGATGTGACACATCTTAGTACTACGAATCGGAACAGGTTATTTGTTCAGATTCGTAATACTAGAAAATATCACATCCCTCCAAAATCCCTTATATTATGGGACGGAGGGAGTAGTAAGTAGTCCTTGTCAGCATCACATCTCTCAAACTCCTTATCACGTAAATTGCTATCACGGATGAAGTTATGCAAAGCAAGACAAGCCATGATGATATGATTCTGGGTAGTAGGTGAGAAACTTGGGATGCCCTTCAAAATATGCCACTTTTACTTAAAGACTCCAAAAGACCTTTCAATAACATTTTAAGGGAGGAATGTAAGAAATTGAACACCTCGTACTTTCCTTGAGGAGGTCCCGAACGATGCCGAAATTCCGGTATATGGTATGTGGTTCTTTTGTAAGGTGCAAGATACCCTATTCAATTTGGATAACCCGAGTCGACTAGATAATATTTTCATATAAAACGAAGTTAGTAATGCAAATAATAATACTAGGGTACAAATATCAAAATTAATGAAGGAACCATTTATACCTGCAGGAGGCACGGGAAATGAAGGAAAATTTGCCAATGCACGAGTGAAGATGCGCGAGCCGGGCCCCGACGAGCGGGGTGTCGGCGACCGGTCGAAGGGAGATGGGGAATGGTGTCGAGGGCCGCAGTCATAAGTGATTTTGAAAGTCAAAAGTCAACCAAAGAATCCAAAAGCCATAAGTGATTTTGCTTTAAAGCTGCTTTTTTTTCGCCTGCACGGTGCGCTCCTCTTCACGGATGCGCGAGATAGGAGAGGGAGAGGGAGAGGGGGAGGGAAGCGGTACTGGCTGGGGGTGGGGGAGAGATGGAGGGGTAGTTGGATAGCATTTGCGGGTAATTTTGGTTCAACTTTTGGGGTACTTCTGAATTTTGGCTGGAGTTGGCGTTGTGGTGCGACGGGAATGTCGCTCCACACCGCTAGTACAATTTTGTGGATTGATCTGGCCTACTCCGCTCCATTTTTTTTTTTGAGCTGGACTGTTTGGTTGACCTCCAGTGAGATCTGAGATGAATATGAGAGTGAGAGCTGCACCAAACAGGCTCTTAGTGCAGTAAAAATCCAAAAGCATCTTCTATCCCTATTTTTGTTGGATTTTGAGGGAAAAAATTATCCACCTCTGCCGTTATTATGAAAAAATGGGTTCGCTAATCCTTTCCCCGTCTCCTCTCGCGTGAAGCGCAGCAAGGGGCCGACGGGAGATCTAGGGTTTCGCCGCAGGCTCCCCTTCGGCCGGCCGGCCGCCGCCTGTCCGGCCCCGCTCGGCGCCGCCCCTGTTGGTCCCCGCCCGTCACTGCCCAGCGCCGCCCCACCCGACCCCGCCGCCACCCGACGCCGCCCCTGCTCGTCCCGCCCGACGACGCCGCCCCTGTTCCCGTTTCTCTCCGGCCATCTTCCCACAGGCCACACTGTCTCTCCCTCTCCCTCCGCCTGCAGCTGTCGCACGCCATTTTCCTCTCCCTCCGACCGTCGATAGCTACCGGGGCTGCGGGGCCCCGCAGGGGCCGGAGGCGGGGCCGTTCCTAGAGGCCCCACCTGCGCCGGCGCCGCCGCAGCAGCAGCAACGATGAGCAAGAGCGGCGGCGCGGCGGCGGGGCCGACGGCGGCGGCCGCGGCAGCCGCGGTGCAGAAGCAGAAGACGCTTCTCCAGAAGGCTGACGCCGACGTCTCCAGCCTCGTTGACAACTTCGCCGCCCTCATCAACATCGCGCGCGTACGCACTCCTCCCCCTCTTCGAACCCCCTTCTCCTTGGTGTCGTACTACCAAACCCTAACTCCTCCTCCTCCTGCTCCGCTCGTCTCAGGTCAACGACCCGCCGGTGCGCAACACGCAGGAGGCCTTCCAGATGGACATGCGCGGCTCCCGCATGGTACACACTTGCTCCATGATTTGTTTCTTCGCGGCGGTGTTTAAATCTTGCCCTATAGCATTTGTCTAAATGAGCAAACTTAGAGCTACGATACTCCTAATTTTAAGCGTTGATATCACATTTGCTGTGCCGGCTGGATGGAGAACTGGAGATGTTCCTCCTACCTCAGTAGTGGAGACAATTGGTGTGTAAGAAGAAAACTGAGTAATTACTTGCTCAATTTGGTATTACCATTGTATTAGGAGTCAAATTAAGCCATGGCAGTGAATCCTTGGTGCCATATCCTTGATAGCTGTTTGTTAGGATTTAGGAGTTATAGTATTGATTTCTTGATTTCAGGTGCACCCTGATCCAGTTGGAACTTATAACTAGAAGGCAATCCTAGGCAAGAGTGAAACCTCAGCTGTTTGGTAGAGGCAAATTAATCTTGCTTTGCTAAGCAAAGTAGCCAATAACCGTCAACAAATCCTTGCCCACCATGGAGAGCCAATCCGGCTATCCCTTGATGAACAAATCCTTGCCCACCATGGAGAGCCAATCCGGCTATCCCTTGATGGCAAGCAATGAAGCCCAGTGTCATGGATGCAAGCAGTCAAAGACATAAGACATGCTGGAACCACTTGGAGGGACATGCAGACAAGCAACGAGGTGCTTGAACCAAACAAGCAGACTAGATTCTATGAGCCAGCGATCACACGGGTATCCTTACAGGCATTTAAACAAACACCTTTTGTGCACTACAATGGCACTGGACTAACTTCAGAAGAGGAGCAAATATACTATTGTAATAACAACATAGACCTTCAGAAATCAAAACTCAAGATAGATATGCAACAGAATAATGCATCCAACACCAACAAAACAAGCCACAGTAGATCACACATCCGATGGTCCCAGCTGCTCCTCCAGCCCACACAAACACACCAAGAATAGATTAGGACAGATTCCTGATTGTGGCTGCTCTTTGATCTTTGGATCGCTCTTATACTATGTAAAAATTAATAGCATTCAAGCAAAGGTTGATTAGGGATTACAACAGAAAGAAGAAAGAGCTCCTTCCATTCTGTTTCTGGAGCATATCTCCCAGCCCAGCGTGTCCTCTGTTTTTATACATGTTTTTTTCAATTTAGTCCTACCTGTATAGTAATATTACATACAAGATCATGAATAACCAACAGTATATAATAGTGGATTGAGAAGAACCTACCTCAGACACGCAATGGCCTTACTTTGGTTATCATAGACAGTATGGTGATGGTAATGAATAATGAGTTTGAATCACATTTTGTTGCCTATGTATTTTCCGATCTACCTTTATATTAACATATTGCAATCATCCATTGTACAAAGTATGCTTTTGTAATATAATTGGAGGCTAGTTCTAGTAATCAGTATCATTTGGCAAACCCATTGAATGTGTAATTTCAGATGCGATATGCTATCATGCTTTTCAGGTACATTCAGCTGATTCTCTGTTGAAACTAGTGTCAGAGCTTAAGAGAACAGCTATCTTTTCTGGGCTTGCTTCTTTAACTGAAAATGTGGATAGGCGGATTGAAATCTTTAGTCAACAAGTTGAAGGAACAGAGAGAATGCTGGAGAGGATTGGGCAGGAAGCAGCAGGAAGCCTCAAAGAGTTGGAGGCACATTACTACTCATCTGTTGTGCGAACACCACCGGATGAATGAGGTAAATTCTACCTTTCTCTGAGTGAAAGATGTTTCCTTCTAATTGCTGGAGGTGCGTAGTTGCTTACAATACTAAGGTTTGGTGTCAATTCATGGTTAATTGCAATTTTCAGTCAAAGACCTTTGCTGATGAAAAATTGTACATCAATTGATATGCAAAGCATAACGTTTAGTTGGGTCTAATGTTAGAATTCTTGCACGATGGACAAGTTGGTGGGTTTCCCATAGATTGTTTTGCTGCCTCCATAAAAAGATAACCAGTTAAATTTGTTGAATTTAAGCAACGTCTTTTGGCCGTTCTACATGCTATGCTTATATACTAGTAATTAGCAAGCACCTAGATTCACTGCAAAAGGATTGCCTGTTGATATTACGGAACAGCGCCGCTGTGTAGTACTCTAAATGATTTGTCTTTTTAAGCCTAAGTTATTTGGTTTGGCTTTTAGATGTGACCATATATGCTCCTTTTTATATTAAATTGACTAAATGGCCAATTCCTAACTAGTCAGAAATGACTAGTAAAGTCTACAAGAAACTCATTGACCGTCTACTATGGTATCAGGATTATCACTTCTGAATAGGCGTGGACTTTAAAGCAGTAGTGACAATGACTTGTTCAGTGTATTTTGTGTAAAATCACATTTAATTTAATAAAGAACTGATTTGATCTTTTTTCCCCAACTTTATTGTATTATTAGTTGTTGGGAAACTTGGGATGCCTTTCTGGTTTTCTACCTTTTTAGGCATTCTAGTTTCCACCTAAACGAAGCAGTTTGCTCTCGTATGGCTGTGTAATTTATCTCTACTAGAAGTGGTTGCGCGGCGCCACGCCGCGCACAGAAATCTAACAAAACTACCTTCAAAAAGATATTATTGTTTGAATTGTTCTCTCTAGCACCCGTCTACGTGGCTTAAGAACAAAAAATGGTGCAAAATTTCAAGAAAATTAGTCCATTACTGCTACAAAACCAAAGGCAAGAATGGCCACAAGACAGCAAATCAAGAACCAATCTTTCTTCAGAAAGCAGCCGCAAGGAAGAGAAGAAGAAGGAGGCGGCTGTACGGTTGCCGCGAGGCCAGAGCTAATGCCGGCTCAGGCAACCATCCTCCTCACGAACAGAATTATGCAAAAACAGCAGATTTGTACCCATGACAATTAAGTACCGATTCTCAGGAACTCCATTAGGGCTTGTTCGGTTGGGCCATTCCTGGCTGGGATCGGGGCCCAATCCCCATGGAAAATCCCGGCGTGGAAAGGATACCGGCCCACGCAAGTATAGGCGTTCGGTTAAGCCGAGGCGAGATTTTATCCCGGCCCACCCCGGTGTTTTCCCCTCGTCATCGGCCGGGAAATATTCAGCTTCTTTGGTGGCGAGGAAAAAATCCTCTTGACGCGGCGACACAACGAGAGGGGGCGCTGCGGCGGGGACGGCTGCACGGCGCGGTGCGACTCCGACGCGACGGCGACGGCACGCTCTCTCCTCCGGCAGTTGACTCCTCCGGTGGCCACCTTCTTCCCGGTGAGTTCCTTCCCTTCCCATTAGCCTCCTCTTCCAGTGTTAGGGTTTCTTGCGCTCGTGGCCTCGTGCTACTGCGGCGGTGCACGACGGTGGCAGGCATGGCGGGGGACGCCGCAGCATCACACCCCCTCACCATGGCGCCGTTGAAGCTCTAAGCGCTACAGTAAGGAGAAGCAGGAGGACATGGATCTGTTCTTTGTTCCTCACAAGGTTTCTTGATTTATTCTTCTTTCTCCCTTGATTTGTTCTGAGTAATATTCCTAACTTAGTCTGAAGCTCTGATCATGTCCTTCCTGGATCTGATCCTCTGTTTGTAGTGCCGTAGTGAGAATATGTTGATTCTCCTGGTAGTTGAGTAGTTGAAAGACCACGTTTTCTGATTCTCAATGTGAGTTGTTTTAAATTTGTACATAAAGGTTATGAAAATGGTTTATTCTTAAAATTAGTTGGCAGGTAATAGTAATGCCACAAAAACATGCAGTGCGTAATAATATTGAGGCATCAGAAGTGAATGCTGTTCATTTTTCAGAAATAGTACTAGACAAATGTTGTTCATCAGAAGTGATTCCAACAAGTTGTCTGCCCATAATACAAGTAGATCAACGAGCCATTCCACATGCCATATTTTCTGAACAAAGTACAAAGTTCAAATTGAAGTAGTAAGAAAAATGAGTCATGTGCAGCTTTAGTTCAGGCCTGTAAAAAGCTCTTGGCAGTCGGCAGAATACAACTTACTTAAATCTGAACTATTTTGGTACATGGTTCAAATGGTCTAAAAATAATTTCCTAGGTTGGTCCATTTTTAGTAGATCTTTTGTAGAACCATCTAATGAAGAAATTCTGGATGTAAATCATGATTTTTGCAGCTATTGCTTGCTTAATCTGCAGACTACTGATTTTTGCTTCTACTATAGCTACTATTGAATTCAGTTTTTTGCTTGCTCAATCTTATGTGTCCTAATTTCATTTTGATATCTGAAGCACTGCTAGTATTAGTCTCATATGCATGTCCATGTTTCTAGCACTGCTAGCTATTAGGCAAAGCACACAATACAGCTTACAAACAATCACTTGTCAAACTGAAAACTTGGTAAAAATGTTGCCAAGGATCAATAGTTGGCTGGTTCCAGGAAATTTGAGACAATTGCTCACTGCACAAAAGCATTGCCTAGATTATTGCATTTTACAACTGAAAACTGAAGGAAACTTCTTTCTTCTCTACAGGCTTTGGGAGGAAGTCTGAGAGGATGGTGGTTCAGATACAGAGTGAATGAGCAGACATGTACAAGATGATGGCTTTTTGCAGGAGCAACAAATGTTGATCTCTGAACCATTGTATATTGCTGATGTAACCATTTGGTCAAGGAGTCCTGGTGTGGCAGCTCACATTTATTTTTATAGCTCAAGTGAATCATGACATAGTTTCATCTTTTTCTTTTTTTATTGTCAAATTTCACTACTATGACTGTATTTAGTTGTCTCTGTATTGTCAAGTGACCTCAAGCTTTGTTGGGTGATGCCTCCTTGCCTTAAACCGGATACAGGCCTTGATGATACTGCAATATTTTTGTTTTAATGATTAATCAATGTGGTTTTCGCGTAATTGATGAGGTTACTGCAATATTTTTTTACTGAAGTGTAATTTCATTCATGTTGCACTTTTCACTTATACAAAAATATCGGTTTGCAATATTTTTTTGCTATTCTAAACTACCTACCTGAAAACAATTTTGCTATTCTAAACTCAATGGACAGCGTGCAACGTTGAAGCAGGAAAGCACCAATCCTTCTATTGTTGCCGTTGTCTATTGCTGCCTTGACGCGGGATTTAAGCAGGCGCACCAAGTCAAAACCGAACAAACGTTTTGAAGACAGGGATTAGGAAAATCAAGGGAATTCATCCCACAGAGATTAAGTGACATGGGAAGGATCCACTTAATTCCTCCCTGGATAGGTTCCCCTTGGGGGTTTAATTCCAAGGAACCGAACATAGCCTTAAGATATACATGTACTTCCCACAGGCTAGCATGTGCTCCAGGCTAAATCTAAAGTGTAGCTTAACCTAATCAATATACCACGGCAAGGGTGGACGTGATGGAGTATGGATGGACCAGGTGATGTGAACTAGGGTTCCCGATTTTCCGAAAGGTTATGAGAAAAAGTCGATTTAGGTAGAGTCGCGACACAAATCGATCGGGCTTCTAAACGAACATGCTCTTGAACCCCGCAATCGCAGCACCATGTCTCCTTTGATTATCACACGTGTTGAAATGCGGATGACCTCGCCGAGAAGGCTAATCCCTATTTGCGAATCGAAGAACACAAACAAGAACAAGGAAGAATACAACCAAAATTGCATATAAATGATTAAGCTCACAAATTGGGGTCTTACAAACCGATCTGGCGGCGAAACTGTTCTTGACAGAATAATCTAAGCAAAACCCCAAAGGTGACGGCGTGTACTGATATATAGAGTTTAAGTTCGTGCAAACAACCCTTGATGCAACTCTAATGGGTTCCAACACGATACACGGCACAAAAGCCTAAATACGGTGACGCAACACCGGGACTGATTCTGGACATTAACTTGTTCGGTCGATTCCCGTTGACTCGGAAAGAATTTGAATGTGGGACCAGAACAATTGGAAATGTTATCTTCTTAGCTTTCCATCCATATAAAGAACGCCCCAATCCGAGTACGTATGCGACCTGGGCGCTCGTTTAAGTGCAGACTGGTCCAGGACTCTAAAACATACTCGAAGTCGACTTGGTTTGGGCCTCCATCTTAACTTGACGCCCTCGTTGATCCTCCATGTCCTAGATTTCAGGTTGGATCCCTCTATACCCCTTCCGTTAGTTGACCGCTAATTGACCGTTAAATTCCTATCATAAAGTTCATTTGCCCTTTAGAACCAAGAAAATATTAATTTATGAAATATATTGATGAAGTATATAAATTTATTGTATGCGACTATTATATTTATATGAGTTTATTTTGAGAGATATAATCTAATAAAAAATAATATTTTTGTTTCTCCTCCGCGAAGGCAAATCAAAAAATATTTTTTATCTATGGCAAAATTTATTGTTATATATATCAAAAAATAATATTTTTCACGATTAAAAACTGTATATACATATATAGCATATTTTTTATAGTAGTACAACGTTTTCTATAAGATAAATTTATTTATGTGCTAAATAAATATTTTTTTAATAACTAAAATAAATTTTAGTTTTATGTCATATCTAAAAATAAATTTTTATCATAGATAAAAAATTTTTTGCCGTGGAGGCAAAACTAAAATATTATTTTTTATTAAATTATATATCACAAAATAAACTCATAAATATAATAGTCGCGTACAATAAATTTATACACTCCATCAATATATTTTTCATAAATTTATATTTTTTTTATTTTAAAAGGCAAAATAGACTTTATGATAGGAATTTAATGATCAACTAGTGGTTAACTAACGAAAGAGGCATAGAAAGAAACCAAAATGAAATTTAGGGGTATAGAAGAAAATGAGTAAATCTCAGCCCTCAGGGGTATGGAATAGATTGTGCGAACTTTTAAGGGAACCAGGGAATTTTCTCTTTTTATAACTAGAGATCGCGACAAGCGTTGGCTGCCTACGCCTCCTGGCGCCGGTTTCGAGCGGATGCAGCATTCGGACCGGACGAGCTGCGTGCGTGTGAGCGAGCTTGGAGAACCGCGCGCACATGGAGGGGCCCGTGCGGAGGGCGGGCAAGCGGGCGCACGGCTTCCACGCCCAGGCGGCCAGGCGGCCAGGCCACACAGGGGAATGGGCGTGGCCGAGCCGGACCCGGTCGCGGCGCGCTTTGTCCTACCGCTGCTGCTGTTTTTCGGGAGAGTTTTTTTTTTGAGTTAATTTTAGTTTGGGCCACCTTCTAGTACCGATATTTCGCTTTAGACCACCTTAGAACTAATGTTTTCACTTTGGACCGGGTATTTTTACCTTTGTATCACATTAGACCACCCTCACTCTTTTATCCATCTACATCCAACTTGTAATATGTCGAAAAAATAGTCTTACATATAGCTGTGGTAGTTCATTGACGAGTAGGAAACGGCGTAATCGAGATCGTTCATATGCTTGAGAAGAGAGTTGGGTGGTCCAAAGTGAAACAAAGATAAGTTTACCCAGTCTAAAGTGAAAATATTGCTTAAAGGTGGTCTAAAGTAAAACATAGGTAAATAAAGGTGGCCCGAAGTGAAATTTACTTTTTTTTTTTGGCTGGGGCCACGGTTTCTTTTGTGAACAACGCATGTGGTATCTGGTCGAAGAGATTCTTCGCTTTCTCTCTTTCGTGTTTTTTTTTTTAAAAAAAATTGTGTCAGGTCAAGGAGATTGGGAGATTGGGAGTTTGAGATGCTGCAAGCCCTGCAACTGCAAGCTGCCCGCATGAAGCAGGGTGAAACGGACTGTGGCATGTTCCTCTGCTTGATTCACTCGATGCAAACTACTACTATCTCGGTTTTCCTTAAAGCCAACGTAGTTTCGCTGTTTCTTCAGCGATAAGTTGCTAATTGTGGGCTTATCGCCATCTCTCTCATTTATACCACAAGTAGCAAGGCCGTGGATATCTCTTTCCCTTGCAGGAAGAGGAAAACGCAAGCAAGGCCGTTTGGCTGGCTGGCTACCTCGTCGCTCGCTCTCTTTCCACACATTTACGATGGGCAACTAGAAACCATGTCGTTTGGCCTAAACAGCCAAAAAATAAGCTAAAATTTAAATTTTTGAACTTGATTTTGAAGTTAGTTTTGAGATGCTTTTAACGTAATTTTTGTTAATGTTGGCTTTTAAGTCGCTACGAACAAATCTATAAAAGTTTTACTTATAAATTAATTTTTATTTTCTAATAAGCCATTTTGGCTTATTAGGCAAAATGGGTAACCGATGGGAGCCTAGAACATGCATGAAGTGTGATTTCAGCGTAATATTATCATTTCCTTGTTTTTACTATCTAATTCTCTTTTACAAAGACACTCATATCATACGAAAAGGCTAATGGGCGGGTGATCGCTCCCCCACCCGCCCAGCGATCACCTGCCCACCCTCTCCCCTATACTACTAGATGTACTCCTCCCTCTTCTCCCCCTTCCTCCTCTCCTTCTTCTCTTTCTACTGCAGTAGACCACACAAAATTTTTTGAAAAACAAAAGTTAGAAAAACTTATGTATAGAAATACTATATATAAAAAATTTGAATTCAAATTCAAATTTGAATCAGGTATGTAAACTTTTGACTTATAAACTTTGGGTCTATAAACTTTAGGTGTATAAACTTTAGATGTATAGAAATACTATATATAGAAAATATTTAAATTAAAATTCAAATTTGAATCAGATATAATTCAAATTCAAATTTGAATTGGGTATATAAACTTTAGGTGTATAAACTTTAGATCTATAGAAATACTATATATGAAAAATATTTTAATTCAAATTCAAATTTGAATCGGATATTTGAATTCAAATTCAAATTTGAAACGGGTATATAAACTTTGACTTATAAACTTTAGGTCTATAAACTTTAGGTGTATAAACTTTAGATGTATAGAAATACTATATATAAAAAAATATTTGAATTCAAATTCAAATTTGAATCAGATATATAAACTTTTGACTTATAAACTTTTGGTCTCTAAACTTTAGATGTGTAAACTTTAGGTGTATAAACTTTAGATGTATAAATTTACTCAAATAGGAAAGTAATGCGGTGCCAAAAAAGGAAACCAGGTGGAGGGAGGGAGGGGGGAGGTGGGGAGCGAATCTGATCGCTACCCCATCCCCACGGCGATCGATCGCCCATTAGGGGTACCCCATATCATATGCGCTCAAGGACATGTACAAAGGCATTTGAAAGCTTAAAACCTAACACATAATAATTCCTCTATAGAGCTCTCTAATAATAGTATTCTACTAACATAAAATGATATAACCATCGATTTGTTATGGTGTATTAGTAACTACTAAATCTATGGTTGGGAGTAATTTTGGTGTTTGTGTGTTTTTTTTCATTCGTTACTCATATCGCTCAATATGTGTTATGTCACCACATCGTCCTTCTATCGATTAAGAGAACTTTTATATAGAAAGTATTTGTAAAATATGTACACTTAGCAATTTAAAAAACATGCTCACGATATACGAGAAAGTAGTCAATCTGGTAAGCATGGACTAAGCCTAATATGAGTGATCAATTGTGGAGGCATTCCTCAAATTTGTTGAATGACTCCATTTTCATCTCTTTATTAGCTTTTACTTTTAAGTGCTAAGGTGATTGTCAGGGTTACGGATAAGTCATACCCTCTATCCTATTAGTCATGAGATATACGAATACGGCATATCTTACGATATACGGAAAGGATACATGTAAAATAAGGGAATTGGCGAATTCCTATGGGAAATATCCTTCACTAGTAGGACCGTGTCAATATCCTACTCGGAGAAGGGAAGGATTGTATTGTATCGTGTGGGATCCGATATCTCCGAGTTCTACTTGGAGACCAAGATGATCTTTGGTATAAATACATACCCCCTGAGGGGTATAGGACACCCGGCACCACAGAAGCAATTTGGAGGACTTGAAGCCTATTTGCCGATAGATATCGTCGAGACCCTCTCGACAAGGATCTCGTCGCTAAATCTTGGAGTTCAATTGTTCTCTTTTGTATTCTATGGTTTTCTTCATAATCCCATATAAACTAGATTAAGGCTATTAACTTACGAGGGGCCTGAACCAGTATAATCCTTATCTTTTGTATGCTTAATGTCGTATCGTGTAGATCCTCGTACCAATGTATCTTAATACCCTCAGAATACAGTCTACGGGTACCCCCCATCAATTGTGATTATGGACAAACATATTTTGTTTGTCGAAACAACTAAGCTATTTAGAATAAAGCGGGCAATTGACCATCTTGTTTCCCAACCAAAACAATCCTTAAGGGCATCCTAAATGTATATACAACAATGAACAATAACGGTGAGGTCCAATGCAGGAAGCACTAGCTATAGCAAGATGGCACGACTTCAGTGATGGCACCGGTGGTGGTCGTGGATGTTATGGCAGCACGGACTAGCAGATGTGGTGAGATGCGGCGACATTGGCTGAAGACGGGGGGCTAGTCTTCCGTCCCTTTCTATGTCACCAATGAACTTGGTGGGCGGCGGCGACGTTAGGCAGAGACTAGGTTAGTCCCCTGTCCCTTCCTCTGTCACTAGGGGGTGGGCAGAAAAAGAGTGAACCGAAAAGAGCGAGACCGAGAAATTCGATCACTAGTTCGACCTCAGGTGTTGAAAGATCGAATTTTGTTCGATCAATTCGGTTAGTACATTCAGTTAACTAAATAGACCGAACAAATCGATTTTTGGTCCATTAGGTACATTAAGGTCCAACAACCCAATTAAACCAAAATTTTCCCAATTTTAGGCTCCAACATGCTTTGATATCTGACCCATGATAGTGAAGTGAGTTGATTTGTGATATTTTTTGTGTATAATTTTTTTATCTAGAACTTATTAGAGACTTGGCTTGATTATCTTGGACCTTTTGAAATTTCGATCATGAACGAGACCAATACTGAATTACCTGAGACCAAATTTCTTGGTCTTCATTATTTTTCAAGACCAATCGGTCTCCAGTTTTAGATGACCGAAATTTCTAAAAGAACGAAGATTGAGACCAGATTTTTCGATCTGACCGAACATCCACCCGCATCTGTCACCGGCAGAGAGGACTGGCAGTGTCGGTGGACATGGTGGGTAGTGGTATTGGTGGCTCTCGGTGGCAGTGTCCTAGGGGCGGTGGCGGCTAGGTGAGCTTCAGCGCCTAGATCTGACCACGGCCAGGCGAGGACGGGGGGTCAGTGGTTGTCAATGATTGGGCTAGCTGATGATGCAATTGTCGTTGGCTTGCCTGACGCATATGAGGACCATGCCAGCAGAGGCTCTCGGTGGTGGCGTCCTAGAGGCGGCAACTACCAAGCAAGTGTCGACGCCAAGGTCTAGCTGCGGATTGGTGTGAACGACAGTAGAGTACCTCTGGTGAGCTCATGGCAGTAAAGACAGGTGCATGTCATGCTTGACGGCTTCACGACACTCTAGGAGTGATGGCGAGTTCGACAGTCTGTGAAAGACGGCGGTGGCATGGTAGAGCAGCTTCGGGTGCACTAGGGGCGTTCGGAATTAATGCGGCGGCGTAAGGGGATTTGGATGATGGCGTAGGACAGTAGACACATTAGTTAGTAGCAGATGGCATTGTGATTCGAGGCAGAGATGGTGTGGCGACAGGTAGCACAAACTGTTTCGATTCTCCACTTCCGCCCTCTCATGTTGCAATAGAAATAATAAGTCGTCAATGAGGGTTACAGCTAGTTTTTCTTTTATGTGTGTGTGTTCCTGTGTATTTCTCCTAGTGAGGGTTGGAATCTAATTACCTATATATGTTTTGCCCGTGTATATCTTTTATAGATATAGAGTCTTATTATCTAATAATGAAAAATCCATTATTAAAAAAAAAGCTATAGCAAACTCCATAATAATGGTTAAAACCTGTGAGAGAAATTAAGGTGGGTCCTGTTAGGTCCCACTTAGTTTAGAAAATATTGCTTCTTGGGAGTTTTTTATTCAAGGGATCGATGAACTAACTCCCTCCTGTGGGCAGCAATATTATTTTATTTTATTTTCTGTTGTGACCAAACCACGAGCTTATAGTGAACATTAGCATTTAATGTTTTATTGTCAGGTTTATAAGGATAGTCACAAGCTCGATCACAACTCATTCTTTCAACCCTTGCTATGTCCGCCTTAAGTGTCTAGGCCTAACTATGGCATTAGAGATTGGGGCTATTTGGAAATTGTCTCGTTAAGCATTTTATTATTAATGATTGTAATGCTCTATGTGAGGGCATCACCAATGTATATATTAAAGTGATCCATATAGATGTGGCTCATATAAATAGATTTTTCCTATACTCCCTCCGGGTTGATAATACTTATCATTTTGGACAAGGGCACGGTCTCCAGAAAACAACTTTGACCATTATTTTCTATTATAATATGTATAAAAATGTTAACAAATATATGATCTTAATAAAGTACTTTTTAAGACTAATCTATACATGTAGTCACCAAATTTGAAAGACAATTATTTTAAAAATGGTTCATAATCAAATATTCTAAAGTTTGACCTCACCCTTATCCAAAACGATAAGTATTATCAGCCCGGAGGGAGTAACAATCTGTGCAATGTATAAGAGAGAGGAGTAGAGATACTTCCTCCATCCCAAAATAAGCGCAACTATGAGTTTCCGTGTCCAACTTTAATCGTATGTTTTATTTGAAAAAAATTATGATTAGTATTTTTATAGTTATTAGATTATAATACATGAATAGTACTTTATGTGTGACTTATGTTTTTTATTTTTTCAAAAAAATTAAATAAAACGAACGATTAAAGTTGGTCACGGAAACTCATAGCTGCGCTTATTTTGGGATGGAGAGAGTAGATAATATTATTTATCCCACATAGTCGTCTATATACATATGAGTAACTTTTGTTTTTTTTCATGTGGACTAGTTTATACAATGATAATAGATGATTGAATGAAATATTATATTGTTTATAGATTACTTTTACACGCCTCACAAACGTTGCAGCAAAAAAAAAAAGCAACAAAACACCGGTAATGAAACTAGGGAGAGACGTGATCCTAGAACGACCCCTGAACCGGACAGTCAAGACAGTGTGAACGTCTCTCGAATCCAAGCAAGATGACAAAGCTAGAAACACAAAGGGCTTGTGCTTTTGCACCGGGCTAAATTTATTTTAGTCGGGCACCGTCCCAAGTTTCCAAGAAAAGGAGCCGAAGGTCCTTTTCCGTTCGTGAGTGCCGTCATCCATCCACATCGCTTTTGTTCCTTCCCTATCCATGCGGCTATCCCATCGTCGTTTGCTTTGATTTGATGCTTGTTTCGTGGCAGCTTACCACTGGAACGGAAAAAAACCCGCAAAGTTTAGGGGGCGTGCCAATGGTGCGGGGACTAACAGAAGAAATTAATCAATGTATAGTTGATTTTTTAGAACAAATCAATGTATAGTTGTGTACTAGTGTCACTCACGCCACCCGTCTCATATCCATTCGCATGGTTGAACTTTTAGGGCGTCACGGCGTGGAACAAGCAAAAGCACAGCACTGTATCTTGGATAGTACCAAGAGCTAGATGGATCGATCGATCAGTGAGCTTAAACTGTGGTCAACTCTGCAGTGGATTGGAGTATTCTATTAACCGGTAAGAGACGGCAAGCCATGCCCATTCCCAAATTAGACTCTGTCTGAGATTCCTGCGACCAAACAACCCACACACCACCACACAGATCACAACAGCAAGTTGTTTTGTTTTTTTTTTCGTCAGAAACAGTAGACCGAATTAAGCAACGTGAACGAGACGAGAGCGAGACGGCGTCACCGCCACACATGTAGCGTGCTGCGTGCGCGCCGCATCAACACCACCGGAAAACAGCAGGCTCCCCCCGGCCAGTGGATCGGAGTAGGAGTAGTAGTACGCGACCACGCGCGCACCTGGGTGATCGCCTGGCTAAGCCCACGGTTTCCCCGCCTCCGCCCGCGGCACGGTGAATAATCTCCAGCCTCCGGGCGCGCCGCACCACGCAAAAACGCAACGCAACGCGCGATTTGTTATATATATCCACCCGCGAAGTCCAACGCCTCGATCGATCGGTTGATAAGGGGAGGAGAAAAAATACAGTAGTGGAGCGAGCTAGCTAGCGCGCACGGGGTTTCACCCTCTTCTCTGTACTGCACGACGACTGGATCGTGGTGGTGGTGGTGGTGCAGCTTTTGCTTGCGTGCGAGGGGGCGTGTCGCGTGCTGGCCCAGCTTATATAGAGTTGAGAACTTGAGATAGATAGATGGCCGTGGCGTTCCCGCCTCACATCATGGTGCTGAGCAAGATGCAGCGGCTGTACGACGCGTGCGACATGATCTTCTCTTCGCCGGCGTCCGCGGCGCCGACCATCGGGGAGATCAGGTGGCTTCAACACCTCCTTGGTACGTACGTTCGTGAGTTCTTCCCGGCGCATGGAGTGAAGAGCGAATCCATAATATGTGATGGCTTATGTGGTGTGATGGTGGATCTCTTGTGTAGATGGCATGGAGGCGGCGGACGTCGGGATCGATGACGGCGAGTCACCGCCGTCGTCGTCGTCGTCTTCGTGTTCGTCGTCGGACGACGAGGTGAGCTCGAAGGACGGCCGGCTCCTGCCGGCGCGGGCGTTCACGCGGATCACCTACATGCACATACACCAGTGCGCCGATTTCTCGGTACGTACGTACGCATCGATCAACTAATGCAAAGAGCAGTAGCACAATAGCAGTCTTGTGCTGTGTACGCGTACGCGACGAGGTTAATTGGTCAATGGTTTGGCTTTGGCAGATGGGCGTGTTCTGTTTTCCGGCGGGCGCCACGCTGCCGCTGCACGACCACCCGGAGATGGTGGTTTTGAGCAAGCTCCTGTACGGCTCGGTTCGAGTCAAGTCGTACGATTGGGTCACCCCGCCGCCGCCGTGCTCCAGAAAGAGTAAGCGTGCGTTCAGTGCCCGAATCTGATTCGTTGGTAGCACCCGTGTTACGCATTAGCCTCAGAAGCAAATCGATTGGTTCGTGCCGACCTGACCACCAAGAGCTAACAGTGGGAGTAACTTGTTGCGCGCGGGCGCAGGTGGTTTGGCGAGGGTGGTGGCAGCCGACGAGGTCCGGCACGCGCCGTGCAAGACGTCGGTGCTGTTCCCGCGGAGCGGCGGCAACATGCACGCGTTCACCGCCGTCACGCCGTGCGCCATCCTCGACGTGCTCACGCCGCCGTACTCGGAGGAGCTCGGCCGGCCGTCCACCTACTTCAACGACATCCCCATCCCATCTCTGCCAGGTACACGTCTCGTCACCCCCACAAACACACGCGAAGAATGCTTGATTCGATCTATTATGTGAGAATTTATTTTCTCGTTCACAACTTTAGTACTATCTGATGATTAATCTGGTAGTGTACGTGTCATTTTGCTTGATTCAGGTTTTGCTTTTCTGGAAGAGACGGACTTGCCGGAGGATTTCAGCGTTGCAGGGGCACCGTACGTCGGCCCAGAGCTTGAGCTTGTGGTCGATATGGATGATGATGACGACGATTACGATGATTACGACGAGTAGCTAGCTAGGCTAGCTAGCTCACTGCTTTTTCAGAAGAGAGCTAGATGTGCTACATAGAAATTGTTGCGTACGTGCAACGTTGATGTACATGGAGCGGTTTCTCTTTGTGGATATATATATATATATATATATATATATATATATATATATATATATATATATATATATGCTCTTACAATATGGGCACCCTATGAGTAAATTGCACCTGCTGTGCATTGATCTGTACAGAATCTACTCGAACATCCTTTTAACTTCCAAATTGGCTAGTGGCTACTGTAAAAAATTGTAAAGAATAACTTTTATAATTGCGTGGCACCAACAAACTTTGTAATTTTGTTTTAGGTATTGGTCAGAGTAGATTGCTTAAAAACGAATACAAAAGGACAGGAAAAAGGGAAGACTTTGTATACCTGAATTCTCAAAGTATAACAAACACAAACAGACGGCCACAGCCAACAAGTAGTTTTCGGAGTACTACAAGGAAATCCATGGTTTCGGCATGTCATTGTTTGCAGTTGCACATGGTCTGGCTAGTAGCAGGCTGCGAAGTGCCGCTTTCTGACCATGGGCGCCGGGGCTCGTAAGATGTAATGATCACAGCTGCATTGGAGTCCCCTTAGTGGGTGAATATGGCTGTCTTTAGTTCCACGTTAAAATTGAGAGTTTAAAAAAATTGGAACGATGTGACGTAAAAGTTAAAAGGTTGTGTGCGTAGAAAAGTTTAATGTGATGGAAAAGTTAGAAGTTCGAAGAAAAAATAAAGTTAGGAACTAGCAAGGCCATGTGTGATCGATGAGTCGTGAAGCTGTGGGAGAGGGAAAAAAAAGGGTTATGTGTGATTGTGCAAGGCCGCAGTGGGAAATGGGAATCAGTGCGGTAAAAGTCAGGTCTAAGTTAGCCGCTTAATCGGACGTTTATTTGTACGTCAATGCCACGAACCAAAGAATCGGGACGTGTTTTTTCCACGGTTTTAAATCTCCGGCTACAGCGGTTTGAGAAGAATTATAGCTATTTGCTCTCACGTACAGTTTAGTCGCTATAGCTCCATTTAGCCCGCTATAACTACCGCTATAGCTATTTAAGAAGCTAACCGCTAAACATTTTAACCTGCTATTTAAAATAATGGATTTCTCACCGCCAACGCCTGATTGGCCGATCCTGCTTAATCAGCCGAAAAGCAGAGGATTACTCACCACTGCTTCCTTCTCGCGAGTCCGCGCCTCCGTTCGCTCCACGTTGCACGCCCGCACCCTGCACCTTGAGCAGAAGCACGAATTAATTAGCAGAAGAGGTCGACGAGACGTTAACAGGAGGCGGCGGCAGCTAGGACGTCAGGAGGTGACGGTACATGTCGGAACGGTGGTCGCAGTAGCAGAAGGACAAACACTCGTAGCAACGATAGGGAATAAAATTAGCTTGCAGTCAAGGAGAGGAATGAAAGGGAGAAGAGGAGAGGAGGTGCTACTTCAATAGTGACAGACGCCTCATCAGCTAGCCAAGTAGCTACGACTCGTATTATCTGCTCGTGCCTTCATACAGTATCAGTGGATATCAGTTGGTATCCGAGATGTCAAATCTGATACCCTCAGGTACCATTCTTATAGGTTTATACCCAAAGGTATCAGATGACGCATCACACGACGTACCTGTGCACAACACCTCCGAGCAGCACGATGGGTTGGTGAGCAACATGACCATTGCACCACCACATCGACGGTCAATCGTGGCTCCATATCTAGCACATTCGTTGGAATCCCCCTCTATCATCACCAACAATAGGGAGGAGGAGCTCGCTCTGGTGGGAGTCTTCCCCGACATCCTTCGTGTGAGTAAGATTTAGCGATTGTTGCCACGCCACGAGTACAAAAAGGAGGAGGCCACGGAAAAGACACAGTCCATCACCCTCGTCATCAGCATGCGCTCGGGGCCAATCCAACAATAAAGTGGGCCTAGGCCTCTCGATCTGGTGTTGGTGGCCTGCTTCTCGACTCGACGGGAGGCATGAAGCAGCAGAGGGAGCAGAGAGTAGGTGGATGAGTAGGAGCCAGTGAGGAGGAGAATGAGGAGTGATGAACCAATTTCTGGTTTGTGCGGTCAAAAGGAGAGGGAGGAGAAGAACAGTAGGGGAGGGGGGAGGAGGAGGAGGGAGGGCCACAATGGGTAAATCACTTGGGAATTCATGAACCAAATACATGAACTTTTAGAAATAAGAACAACCTTACTCAGTTAATGAGTTGCTTGGTTGGCCTACTCAATGAAAACATTATTAAAACCACTCCATAAGATATATTGTCACCAACTTCTTATTGATAGCAATCAAAGAAATTGATGAATAGCTTCTATTCCGATAATATCAACGACATGTATATAAAATAAAGTTGTTACTCCCAGTATATTGCCAGCAACCATCTTTCTCTAAGCGCACACACACCTTTTCTGAGCCTATAGGATTGAAAAGACCAAAACGTTGGGGTTGCTATTTGGCGCTCACGTGCCAACAATAGAGCTGGTGTGCGCGCCATCTGGCGCCCCCCACGCACACATTTTCATTTCTTTTTTTTTTTGCAATCTTTTTCCCTATTTTGGCGCCCCTCCCCTCGCGCGTATTTTCCTTTTTTCCTGCGTTTTTTCCCGATTAAAAAATCGTTAACACACGTGTTTTCGAATCTCGATATGAAAGTTTTCCAATCTGAAGAAAGTTTCAAATCTAGAGTTGAAAGTTTTCAAATTTTGACTTGAAAGTTTTCAAACCTGAGTTGAAAGTTTCAAATTTGAGTTAAAAGTTTTTCAAATTTGAGATAAAAAGTTGAAAGTTTTCAAACTTTAACTTAAAAGAATTCAAATTTCGAGTGAGAGTTTTCAAAGTTAGAGTTGAAAGTTTTTAAAATTTAATTTCAAAGTTTAAATTTTGAGTTGAAATTTTCAAAATTTCAGTTTAGAGTTTCAAGTTGTAAGTTGATATTCTTAAAATTTAGGTATGGCTTTTTTAAGAAAAAAAATAGAAAGTTTTTTTCACGTATAGATTTCTTCTAAGTTTCAACCTTTAGGGAAAAAAAAGGAAAATCTTACCTTAATTTCTATTATTATGTAAAACATCATCAGCCCTTTAGTACAGATTAAAGGCCCATTCCTGTTTGTGGGCCATGAAATTAGTACATAATCCCCATCCGGAATAAGTTCACTTTGAGTTCCTTAAAAGTGACCAGAATCTAATCCATGACCCTAAACCGTAATACCGGATATCTCGACCCCTCAACTATTAAAATCGGTACAATTTGACTCCCTCGGCAGTTTTGGATGGTGGTTTCGCTAACATGGCGTCTACGTGGCAGTATTGACTAGGTCTTCGTCCTATGTGGCGTTGACGTGGCGCTTAAGTGGCATTAGAATTAAAAATATATATGCGGGCCCATTTGTCATTCACAAAAAGAAATTGTGGGCCCACTGACATGTGGGGCCCACATAAATCCCTATTCCTCCTCCCTCTCTTCCTTCTTTCTCTTTCTCTCCCTTTCTCATCGGTTCTTCCCCTTCGGCCGGCGGCGGGCGGTGAGGGCCGAAGCTGCGCTGGGTGACGAGAGCGAGCAGCTGGCGGGCGGCGACGAATGGCTCGACTGCGCTGGCGTGCACGGGAGGCGGCAGAGAGCAGCGGGCCAGCTGCAAGCCGACAGTGACGCCGGCAAGCAAGCAGGCAAGTCTGCAATTTCATTATCACCAGCAGATAGATGCTACTGTAGCTTTGATGGGGTTACTAGCTCAGCTCGGGTTCGAGCTCGTAGAATGAATTGACGAGCACGTCGTCGGCGAGCTCCAGCCTGTCGAACTGCTTCATCACCAAGTCGAAGTACGCCGGGTACGGGCCGGGGCCGACCTTAATGAACCACGGCAAGCCCTCCAGCTCCAGCGCCGGCAAGCCGATCAGCGCGATGGCGCCGGCCTCCACGGGGATGTGTACACGGCCGCACCACGCGTGGCCGTACACCACGTTGACGGCGCACGACTGCGTGAAGAACGTGAACGCCACCGCCGCTGCGGCGCGCCACGGCGCGCGCCAAGAGGAGGAACGCGTCGTAGAGGAGGACGCACACGGGGCGTCCACCTCCACCCCCCGGCGGTGGCAGCGGCCTCGTCCCGGAGGAGCTCGTCCAACGTCACCGCCCACGCTGACTCGAGGCGATGGATGCGGAGCCGGCGAGGAGATGAACCCCGATGGAGAGGTCGGGGAGGACGACGCCAGCAGTGGCGAGGTGGAGGTGCCGGCAGTGGCGAGGTGGAGGCGCCGGCGACAGGAACTCATGACGCCGGCGTGGCCGCATGGGGGAGAGAGAGAGAAGGAAGAGAGAGAGGGAGGATGAAGAAGGGATGACGTACGGGTCCCAGATATCAGTGGGTCCCGTATGTCAGTGGACCCACAAAATTTTCTTCTGAATAACAAATGGGTCCCATATGTATGTTTTTAATTTTTAATGCCACCCAAACGCCATTTCAACGGCAGACAAGGTCAACATTACCACATGGACGCCACGCCAGCAAAACCACTCTTCAAAACTGCCGAGGGAGTCAAGTTGCACCGGTTTTAACAGTATAGGGGTCAAGATATCTGGTTTATAGTTCAGTGGTATGGATTAGATTCGGATCACTTTTAAGGGAGTCAAAGTGAACTTATTCCTCCCCATCCACAGATGTGGTCAGGCATGTATTCCGGCCCATCCAAGTATCCACAACGAAATCGCGGAAGGAAAACCGACCGATCTCGATATCACGCGCCCCACCCCCACGCCGCCAAAAATATCTCAGGAAAACAACTGCAAATCACACCACCTGTACGCTGTAGTCCTGTACCATGTGGTCATGTCTTTGTCGTGCACGGAGGAAGAAAAAAAAGGAAAAAAAAACCGGCAAACTTTCTCATTTGCCAGTTTTTCTCACCAGCAACAGCAAACGACGGCAGCTTCCTGCACCGAACGATCCGGCTTACATATCTCCCTCCGAAAGCTCACTTTCTCATTTGCCAGTTTGTTTTTCTCCCTCCACAGTGCACAGCCATGGTTGCGCCGTCTCGGCTCCCATCCCATGAGGAGCAATCCGCCGCCGCCGCAGCCGACGGCTCGGCCACACCGTCCCAAGGAATCCCCGTCGTCGATCTCGGCGTCCTCATCAACGGCGCGGCCGACGAGCGGTCGCGGGCGATCCGCGACCTAGGCAGGGCATGCGAGGATTGGGGCTTCTTCATGGTAAGTTGGGGTATCTCTCAAAACGAACATATCCTTAATTTTGTTATGTCTCGTCTAGAATGTGAAAGAAAAAAGAAAGTTTTCTCCGTTTACTTCGGAAACGAACTATTTCAAATACGAAAATTTCTACGAGCTGTTTGATTGTTTGTTAATTAAAGTATATTGTGTGATAATGATCGCATTTATCAGTAACAACTCCAATTCGTCAGTGACATGATTGATTGCTAGATCGTCTCATCTGAATCTTTCATGAATGAATTAAGGTGACTAACCATGGGGTGCCCGAGGCTCTCCGAGAAGCAATCATGGACGCCTGCAAGGAGCTGTTCAGATTACCTTTGGAGGAGAAGAAAGAGTACATGCGTGCCAAGCCGATGGATCCTATACGGATCGGTACAGGTTTCTACTCTGTCGTCGACGCCGTACCATGCAGGAGGGACTACCTGAAGATGTTCTCTCATCCTGAATTCCACTGCCCCGAAAAGCCCGCAAAGCTGAGGTACATCCATGATCATTATTACCAATCGTAAAAATTCTTCGCCATTGACATCATCGACCGGTGTAATGTGAAGATTTTCTTGTGGTTTCCTTCCTCTAAAGAAAGATTTGTGATGTGTCAACAATGTCAGGGAGATTGCAACGGAGTACGCGACCTGCACGAGAGCCCTGTTGCTGGAGCTCACCAAGGCGATCTCCGAGAGCCTGGGCCTCGCCGGCGGCCGCCTCTCTGAAGCGCTCAACCTCGAGTCCTGCTTCCAGATCTTGGTGGGGAACCATTACCCTGCGTGCTCTAGACCGGACGAGCAGGCGATGGGATTATCGGCTCACTCCGACCATGGCCTCCTCACCCTGCTCTTCCAGAACGGCGTCGATGGCCTCCAGGTCAAGCACGATGGCGAATGGCTCCTCGCGAAGCCCCTCCCGGGCTCCTTCTTCGTCATCGCCGGCGATCAGTTGGAGGTATTGGATCAACAATCACTATGCGTGTTCTTGAGAAGTTTATGAAACTGTGAAATGGATTTTAAACTCTTGAAGGGATATCTTTATGTTATTTTTTTAGATAATGATCTTTATGTTATTTACATATCATCTAAATAGTTATAAAAAATATATATAAAAAGATGAATTAATATATGATATAATATATTACTCCACAAACATACAAACTAAAATTCAACTTCTACGAGTCAAAAAAATTAAACTTATATTCGCTTTCAAATTTGTTTGTTCATTATAACATGTTAAATTTAACCTTGTATGTTTACGGAGTGGTGTATTGATATTAATCTATGTTATTAATTTTTTTTAAAAAAATTATAACCATTTGGATAGCATGTAAACAGAGGGGATATCTTATCGAGAATTTAGAATAGTGTGCGAGATTCAGCTCAGTATGCACTTGTGTTGGTGTGAACATGCGTGCAGATTGTGACCAACGGAAGGTACAAGGGCGTGCTCCACCGCGCGGTGGTCGGCGGCGAGCAGTCGAGGATGTCGTTCGTGAGCCTGATCGGGCCGTGCATGGACACCGTCGTCGAGCCGCTGCCGGAGATGGCGGCGGACGGCCGGGGCCTGGAGTTCCGGGGGATCAGGTACAGGGACTACATGGAGATGCAGCAGAGCAACAGCATCAACGAGAAGACGGCGCTTGACATCGTTCGCGTGATGCATCAGGCCGGGTGACATGTTGACATGCCAAGGAGGCAGTGCCATGTTAGGAATTGGGCCGGCTGCACTACGACCCAACACAGTGAGTAGCCCAATCCTTGGCCCAAGCAAGATTCTAGTGAAGAAGGTTGCTAACATGCCAGTACGTGAACAGTTCAGCAGAAGCTGATCCTGCAGGGCCTGTGTAGTTTGCAGGCGCTGATTCGTTGTAAAGCTCGAACTGTGATATGTGGAATGTTCATCATCATCATATGGAAAATAAATGCCAAGTCCGAGTTTAATTCCAAACTTTTTCTTTAAACTTCCCACTTTTCTATTACATCAAAACTTTCCTACACATATAAACTTCTAACTTTTCTAATTTAACCAAACTTTCAATTTTGGCGTGAACTAAACACACCCCATGTATGGTTCAACCTATCTTATGCATCTTGAATAACCCATGAAGCAAATTGCCCCCAAAGGCGTGGTTTGCTTGCAATTCCCTCCTCTCTTTGGCCAATTCTTTGGCTGTCAGCATCAACACTGGTTACATTTCGACAAAATCTACAGTTAGCCAGTCAACTCTTTGGCCATCAGTATATTTAACTAACTATCATCAACAACTGATTGTACTTTAGAAAACACGTGTGATCATCATCATCATCAAATATATGGTTAGCCAACAAATTATCATCAATTGATCGTTATCAGTGTAACGAGGTCAGCGGTGCTTCATTCACCTCCTACTCCATCCGGAGTGGGCCAGGTGTCAGCATGTACGAGCAGTGCGTGGGCAATGGCCCATTCAGTAGCACGCGGCATGCCCGGCTGGCACGGAGCTGGGCCGCTCACTTCGGACGTTGGGGGGTGGTGGGCATGTGGGCCGGGCTCCGACGCGGACGTGGCGTTTGTTTGGGCCTCCAACTTGTTGTGGTGGTGGGAATTTTTTTATTTATACATTTTTTTATTAAAATATTTAAAAAATAATTTTTTGTTTCGAAAATTTATAAATCTAATCGCCTGCTGTCTGCCCTTCCAGAGAGCGGCAAGGGATCTAAATGCAAAATTTTTATTTATGTTCAAACCCTTTCCACCGGTTTTAATTGCTTAAAAACTAATAATGCTTATTCGATACTCTAAATGATTTTAAATGAAAAAGTGATAAACTACAAAGTTATAGATCTCATCAAGATCTACAACTTTTATATAAAATTTATCTCCATCCAATGTCGTTTGAAATATAGATATGAGATTTTTTTAAATGTGTTTTATATTTTGTAACGAATATTTGGATATCTAAAACATCTTAAATGAAAAAGTTGTTAAATACAAAGTTGTAGATCTCCTTGAGATCTATAATTTCGATATAAAGTTTTATTTCATCTAACTTTATATAATATAATTTTAAATTGTAAAATTATAGAGCTAACAAGTTGTGCTGGAAAATTGCATTTAGATCCCTTGCCGCCCTCTAGAAGGACGATTTTTAAAAATCTCAAGACGATTAGATTTGTAAATTTTCAAAAAAAATATATTTTTTGTAAATATTTTAATAAAAAATATATAAATAAAAAAAATTCTGGTGGTGGTGCGGTCTGACGCGGACGCGGTCGGTCAAACGAGGTCGGCCACCACCCGCACGCCGCACGCGTCTTCGCCTAGCCCGATCTCGTTTCCCTTTCCTCCTCTCTTCCACCACGCGAGGAATAAATAGCAGGACACCGGATTGGAGTAACAGAGAATTTATTTTTTTTTTTCAGTTTTTTCCCCCACCCACACCACAAGCAGACGAAGAAGAAGAACAAGGTAAGAATCCTTTGCTTCCCCTCTCGTCTCGGATCTGGGATCGACTACGCTCTCGAATCCTCTGTCGAATCTGGTTCAATTCTCTGCCTCGCTGCTTCCCCCTCTTTGTTAGTTCTGGTGCCGGTGGATTTTGGGGGATTTTGGGGTTCTGGGCTGGGGGATTTTGGTGGATTTTTGGGTTCAGGTCGCGAGCTTGAAGTCGAATTGGCGTCGATCGGGACACCGAGCGAACTCTTCTGCGCCATCATCCGCCGGCAACTGCCACCGGCCCCGATCCACGCCAACGCCGGCCTAGGGTTTGCCGCCGGGATCGACGAGGGCCACGATCCGCGCCGCCACCGCCCGGTCGGCCTCGATCCGCAACCGCCGTGTTCCAGTGTCCCACCCAGCAGACTTGCGCTCGCTTGGATCGTCCCCGTGTTCTAGCCAAACTTTATGTTCAAATCGAACTCGACTTCTCTCCCGAAACGGCAAATCGTTGCCAATCCCTGCCTCGGATCCATCCGACTCGCGCGCTGTCTCTGCATCACAATTTATCGTCTCGATCTGTTTAGCTGGATCGAATCTAAACACAACGATTTTGTTGTTTGATCTATCACAGGTTCGTCCGTCGAGATGTTGGAGGAGCTGCTCATCTTCACGCGCGGCGGCCTCATCCTCTGGTCGTCATGCCGGGCGCTCGGCGGCGCCGCCCTCAAGGGCTCGCCCATCGACGCCCTCATCCGCTCCTGCCTCCTCGAGGAGCGCTCTGCCGACGCCAGCTTCTCCCAGGACACCTATGCGCTTAAGTGGACCTTTAACAATGACCTCGGCCTCGTGTTCGTCGCCGTTTACCAGCGCATGCTCCACCTCCTTTACGTCGACGACCTCCTCGCCGCCGTCCGTAAGGAGTTCTCACAGATTTATGATCCCAAGCGCACCTCCTATGATGACGCCTTCAATGAGGTTTTTCGCCAGCTCCACCTCGAGGCTGAGGCTCGCAGTGAGGAGATGAAGAAGAATAAACAGGTCACTGGTTCCCGGCCCACCAAGGTTACCACTAAGACCAATCGTGGCGACACTCAGGGCTCTGGTGGTGGTAGGAAGAAAGGTGACTCGGGGAAGGACGACTCTGATGGTGACTCCGGGAAGGAGCACACTTTGCCAAATGGTAATTCCAAGATGCAAGAGAATAGCCTCAAGGACAATTCTCATGCCCGCAGTGTTGTTGTTAAAGGAAAGGAGAACGGAGACCCCAACGATGGGGCCTTTGATGTAAATAAGTTACAGAAGATGAGAAACAAGGGTAACAAGAAGAATGAGGTTGCTAGTAATGTGGCCAAGAACACCTCTAAGGCTAACACAAAGAAGAATTTGAAGAAAAATAGGGTTTGGGATGACACACCTGATGACAAGAAGAAGCTGGATTTCACAGACCCAGCTGATGAGAGAGGGGATGAGGTGATAGACCAGGTGGTTGTCAAGCAGGGGGAAAGCATGATGGATAAGGATGATGTCGTGAGCAGTGATAGTGATGAAGAAGAGGAAGATGGAGAGGAAAATTCTGGAGCTTCCCAAAAGAAGAAAGGATGGTTCTCCTCGATGTTCAAGAGGTAATACGCATGTTTCGCATCTTTTGACATGGCATAATGTGTAGTCAGTTTTGTTTGCTTAACAATTTCAAATGCGCTATATACACTTGGGTGGTTTAAGCTTCAGCATGTTTTTTATTCTTAGCCAGCTCATTGTTTCAACCGCAGAGAGCAACCCTGATATGCTTTTCTGCTTTCTAGAATGCTCCCTAATTTGGTGTGCTACTTCAGTCATCTTCTTAAATAAGTTATGCGTAGAGTAGAATGGCAGATTTGTGCTATGTATTGGTGTTAGATGACTTTTGCAGCCTGCAGCCTGTTCTGTCTCTCATTGTTTACCCTCTCCTAGATCAACACACACACACAGATGAAATTGCTGTTTTCCATTTCCCTTGATCCTGCATTCAAGTATTTGTGGTTGCCAGATTTTCAGCTCCCTCTTATAATCTGTTAACCTGTGAACTTAAATGGCATTGTTTCTATTTTTCCTGTGCTCAGCATTGCAGGTAACAATGTGCTTGAGAAGTCTGACATCCAACCTGCACTCAAAGCGCTTAAAGATAGGCTGATGACTAAGAATGTGGTATGAATTTTGTCTAGAACACTTGCATGATAGTTGATAAGCTTACTGGAGTGGTTTTTTGCCTTCTTTGTTATTTATTTATCCAAGGTAAATAAAACTTTTCATCTTAATGCAGGCTGAAGAAATTGCAGAGAAACTTTGTGAATCAGTGGCAGCTAGCCTTGAGGGCAAAAAGCTGGGATCCTTCACAAGGATATCCTCTACTGTTCAGGTTTGTAGCACACCCTAGTCCAAATTTCTGCAAATTTTTTCTTAGGGCACATATTCTCTTTAGCTTCCTAAATCCTAATACTCCTTTTTTTTTTGGGTAACTATTGCAGACAGCTATGGAGGAGGCTCTTCTTCGCATCTTAACCCCAAGGCGATCTATTGACATATTAAGGGATGTACATGCTGCCAAAGAGCGTGGGAAGCCATATGTTATTGTTTTTGTTGGAGTGAATGGAGTTGGCAAATCTACCAATCTTGCAAAGGTAGAGTTATCTTTTATACACCATTGATGAAAAGAATAGTGCCATACTTGCATGGAATTATGCTCATCCCATGTATTGTAATATTACAGGTTGCTTATTGGCTTCTTCAGCATAACCTCAGTGTAAGCCTGGCAGCATGTGACACCTTTAGATCTGGTGCTGTTGAGCAACTGCGTACTCATGCTCGCAGGCTTCAGGTAGCTGTCTAAACACTTGAATATCCATCCCATTACTCTGACCATTGTAGTTTTAGGGGGGGAATATCTAGTCTCCATCAGTTGGTTTTAGTTTGGTTTCACTTTTTCTTTAGTCTGGGATGGTGTATGAATAATTTTTTCTTCGCAAAAATGCGTTGAACTGTATTGATATAATGGTCTTGTGGGGTGCCTCCTGGTGTTATGCGATAAAAAACGACAATAGTCCCAGTGGAACTACTCGGCATTCACTTATGAATGCTCACTGCTAAATTTTGTTGAGTTATATACATGTGCCATACCTTCCTGGATATTTACATTCTAGAATTTGTGCAGATACCTATATTTGAGAAGGGATATGAAAAAGATCCAGCGGTTGTCGCAAAGGAGGCTATTCAGGAAGCTACTCGTAATAAGTCAGATGTTGTTCTTGTCGACACTGCTGGACGTATGCAGGTTGGTTGAGTGGCTTAACCAGAGTCTTATGTCGTTCTATTTATGTCCTTCGAATGCATCTTTTCTGGTCAACACATATCTAACATATCTTCTCTGCCAGGATAATGAGCCACTCATGAGAGCACTCTCCAAGCTCATCAATCTCAATAGCCCAGATCTAGTTTTATTTGTTGGGGAAGCATTGGTTGGTAATGATGCTGTTGATCAACTCACTAAATTTAACCAGGTACTGATAGTCTTTCAAGGACTGGTGAATGCTACTCCCTCCGTTTCATATTATAAAACGCTTTGAACTTTTTCTTAGTTTAATTTTTGAATTTTGACCAAGTTTATAAATTTTTTTGTCAAAATATATTTAATGTTACATTTAATGAAACTAATTTGGTATTATAAGAGATACTACATTTCCCTACAAACTTGGTCAACATGTGCTTTCACTGGAATGCACTGAACGGTTTTGTTTGTTGAACAGAAATTAGCAGACCTTTCCGCTGTCCCTACTACCAGATTGATAGATGGCATCCTGCTCACCAAGTTTGACACCATCGACGACAAGGTCTGAACTGTCACAGAATTTTGATTTACTGCAATTGCCTTCTTTTACAGTATTTTTATTTTTATGACTACTCAATATATATATAGGTTGGAGCTGCACTTTCAATGGTTTATATATCTGGAGCTCCAGTCATGTTCGTTGGCTGTGGTCAGTCTTACACTGACCTCAAGAAGCTCAATGTCAAATCCATCGTTAAAACCCTGCTGAAGTGAATGTGGTGCGCCGTTGTGCGGCACCTCGAATTCGTACTGCCAGTATTGCTATCGTCGAAACCCCCATGACCTCGTCGTCATCGTGTTGGATGTGTTCTGTCCTGGTTTACTGTTGTAGTAGCACAAACTATCGTGCGCTTTTTCAGTTATGTGACTGCTTTGTATCACAGGTTTTACCTGTTTTACCCTGGAATATATACTTACTAGTGGTTAACATGGGCTGATATTCTCTCCATTAACTACTTGCATTGATACGGTGTTACCGCTATCAATGGCGGCAGGCGGAAGTCCTGTGTACAGTCGTAACAGTACAGGCTGATCTGTAGAATGTTCATGAGTTCGTAGGCAGAGTACTCTGTTGTGGTTGAAAGTAAAAGAGAATGCAGGTCCGTCCGAGAACAGCAACAGCAAGGAGCCAATGTGTGGCTAAACAACAAATTGTCAATTGACCAGCGTTCGCTATATAATAATATAACGAACTGAAACTCTGAAAGAGCTGATGAAAGAATATTGTTCTGATCGCTGGTGTTGGCCAGGCTCTGGTTTGTGAGGTAGGACCGTAGGAGTGGATTCGTTTCGGTGCATATATATCATACACGATGGTAATGGGCTACCGTCTGGCCCATTTTGTAGTGTCCGGACGTCTTACAATCCGCGAACAACACACAGGCTTGCAGTTGCAATATCCATTAAATAGTATACTCAGTGCTTACATGTCGCAACTTGCAACCGAGTGCAAATTTCAGGTTACAAGGCTAATAAATATAATCCCAACTCACACATACTATCACCCTACGCAAGCCTCTGCACTCTTCTCCAATGTTCTCTTGGCAAACGAGCGTCTTCAGAAACTGGCTGTCTGCAGCCTAAGGTAACGTGAATATGTCTATATGTGAAACACCAGCTATGCCTTCCAAAATGTTCTCGTCTTCTTGATCTATTCTGATGGTTTGCCTCTTTGTACTGAGCAGAAGTTGCGGTTCTTCTGCTGCCCACTGAAGTGCCCCCTTTGTGTGTCCAAGAAACCTCACCAACACACTGTTGGTACTTGGTTGCTTCATTTTGAGCTGGCCCATACTTCCATCCTTGTACTTGCTTTCTTTGCCTGCATGCAAACACACCAGATATGTTCAAACAAATGTGCTGGTCCATTTTTGTGACAAGATAAATTTGAAGGAAATAAAGGAGTTCACCTCTTCATCCCAATCACAGCTGATAGTGAGATAGGCTAATATCAGTGTCTGAACAGCTGTGCCACCAATCAACCCGGACCAAATTCCCTGCAATTTGGGTATGAACAGTCAGAATCAATCCAAACATTGCCATGCATTCGAACAAAATTACTGCTTCTCCCCCAAAACATACTAATAAAAATGTACTGGGGTGTGTTCGGATCATTACCCCAACTCCGAAATGCAATGGCCAGCCCAATATGGCACCGATGGGAACTCCGACCAAGTAGTAGCTACCGACGTTGACGTAGGCTACGAGTGCTTGCCACCCTGAGCCAATGGCCACACCTGCAATGCCAATGCATCAGGGAGCTAGCTTAGAATCAATCACCCATGGCTCGCCAAACTTCCATCCATGAATGCAATGCGAAACTTGTGGCAACGAGGCTTTGGACTTGCCTGAGAGGACGGGCTGCACGCTGTTGAGGAGGACGGTGAAGGCGAGCAGCACGGACAGGTCGCTGACGGCGTCGAGCACCACCTTGCTCGACGAGAAGAGGAGAGCGATCTTGTCGTTGTAGGCAATGATGAGGCACCAGAAGACGAGGCCGATCGCCACGGAGGTGGTGACGGACACCACGATGGCGAACCGCGCGCCCTTGCCGCTGCCGGCGCCGAGCTCGTTTGCCACCCGCACGCTGCGCCATTTCAAGCTCATGTCATTGACTCATGGTGCGCTGATCAAGTTCAGGCCATGGACTGATCAAACCAGTGTAGGAATGCACGTACCCAGTTGCAGCCAAGAAGCCAAAAGGAATCATCATCTCCCATCCGTTGATCGTCAAGCTACGAAGTCAAGAACCAGTACAATGCAATGCAATTTGTGAGGAAGACTAGTTTGGATTTGAAGGAGAAAAATGTTCAATCATCTGCTAGTGCTAGTTACCATATGGAGAGTGCATCCACAGCGATTTCAGCGTTATTCAGGTACCCTGTAAGCAACACCAACACCCTGTAGTACCAGTTCTCCAAGCTGTATATACATGAGCAAATTACAATTTAGCCGAGATGATGAGTTCATGTATATTTTGTTGTGCTCGAGTTGTGTGAGAATGTGTGCTCACCAAAGCATCACCCCGGAGGCCGAGGAGAGCTTGATGAACTCCCAGAAGTCGGCGAACGCTTCCATGGAGAATCCCTTCCACGACAGCGGGCACCAGCCGCCGACGACGTAGACCAACTGCCCCAGCACGACGATCCACCACGCCACGTTGGCGGCGGCGACGGCGCCGAGGAGGCCCAGGTGGAGGGTGTTGACGAGCAGGTAGGTGATCACGAGGTGGAGCGCGAGCGCGACGCCGGCGGTGACCGCGGTGACCCAGTTCTTGAGCTGGGACTGCAGGAACCGCGTGAGCGGGAGCAGCATCGCCATGGCGAAGTGCTGCGGCAGCAGCCAGACGCTCATCTTGCCGGCGAGGCTGGCGAGGTCGGCCGGCTGCCCGATCAGCAGCAGCAGGTCCTCCATGAGCACGTACGTCGGCGTCAGCGCGACGGCGAACATGAGGAGCACCAGCCACGACCGCTGCAGGTACACGCCCAGCATGTGGTACTTCTTGGCGCCGAACGCCTGCCCGCACAGCGTCTCCAGCGCGCTCGCCATGCCCAGCTAATTAACCACAAACACCAAAAATCCACCACGCCATTGCTTGATTATTACCATGACCATATATAATTCACCGTACTGTTAAGAGCTACCAAAATGGTTTCATCCCGAGAAAGCCGGATACTATGGTTTGCTAAGCCGAGTGACCTGGTTTCGGAGAGTTTGCATTTTTCTCAGATTCGTTACGTTCGACTTGTACGAGAGGTAATACCTTCTCACTCTATAAATATGAAATTGTCACAGCGGATTCAGGTATCCAAATTATTATTTTATCATGTCATGGCCGATTCAATCTATCAAGTTTAATTACCTTTTTCTCTTATCCCTTGTCTTTTATCGTTCTAAATTCTAGTTGTCGTTTAATTTACTTCGTCTCTATATGGTAATTAAAGACGCTCTAGGTGGTCTACTGACCTTAGAGCAATCCTAGACACAGCTGTTATGATGGGGTCCCTCTCGGCCAGGTGTTCGTAAGTTCTTATGACGAGACTGTAAAATCTAGGATGTGTTTAATTCACGTTAAAATTGAAAGTTTAGTTAAAATTGAAACGATGTGACGGAAAAAATGAAAGTTTGTGTGTAGCAAAGTTTATGAAAAAGTTGAAAGTTTGAAGAAAAATATTGAAACTAAACACGGCCCTAGATGGTCTTGTTTTTAGAATCAGGTGGTTCGATCCGTTTTGGCGAGGAGCGTAATGATCAACGATCCGATTAAAATCCACACGTTCTAATACTTACACCACTTACTAACAGTTTACTGCTATCTCAAACCACAGTGTCTAGCACTTACTCTAGCTTATATATCACCATGGCGTGAGCCATGACGCATTCAGAGGGGGCTCAACTAATTGCAGATCATGTCGTTTCGTACCTACGCAGTTGGTCATAGATTGGTCGCGGCCGCCGTGCGTGGCGGCGTCAGTGTCGGGACACAGACAGGGACAAACATAAAGAACAATAACTGCAGCAGCAGAAGGCGACAGCGATCAGAGAGCATTGATTCGCCCAATCCATGTGCTCAGCTACGACACGATACTTCCGGCTTAATTCATTAGTCATTACAGAACTTTTACGCCGGGCAAATAATTAATTGCAAAAATTACAAAAGGAAAGATGATTAGGGTGATTGGATCACTTATCCTCGATTAACTACCCAACTATTTCCATCTGTTCTTGGATTGTTCCTGAACCTCAGCGCATAAAAGAACTCTCGGGGCATTTCATAAGGCTGTGTTTAGATCCAAAGTTTGGATCCAAACTTCAGTCCTTTTTCATCACATCAACCTATCATAAACACATAACTTTTCAGTCACATCATCTCCAATTTTAACTAAAATTCAAACTTTACGCTGAATTAAATACAGCCTAAGTCGGCTTCAGATAGCTACTGTCCGTGTAAATAAATTGCTAGCTCTCTAAGATCCACTCAAGCGTGCATGCATGAGATACATGCATGAAGCCGACCGGCCTCCTACTGTTTTACATATTTTTTTTAAAAAATTCATGCATAAAGTCTACTCTACCTGAAAGTTACTGTGGAAGTGTGGATGATGCAGAGCCTATTGAATGGACCAAATTATTGCTTCCAGCCAAAAAAAAATGGACCGAATTAAGGGCTCAGAGCTTTCGATGATAAGCTGTGAACCCGTGCCAGATGTTACCTAAATAAATACAGTATGTGCCTGGAGGTCTAATTATAGCAGGTTAATAATAAATTTCAATTCAATCCAACAACCGCGTGCATAATTCGATCACGCGCATACAAATTGGAGACGACGAAGTCTAGCTAGTCCTTAAAACACTAGTACTAGACACTGCTGTTTTGGCAGTAATGCTGACATTAATTCTACTTAATTTACGGTGTAACAGTGTGAAGTGAGCTAATTTGCCACAAATAACTGATGAGCCATTTCTTGCAAGGTGTTAATTGCTTAGCTGTCGGACACTTTCATCAGGATTTCCATATGAAAACTTGAAATTTATGTAGCGGGCATGCATGACTAGCTGGATTGGGCATGAAGTCGTTGCGGTTTCTATTTGTGTCAATCAAATGATAGAACAGAGAGAAGCTGTCCGAATAGCTGGTCATTTTAATTCTAGCCGGGATGAATATTGCAATGAACTACTTTTGTCTCGATCCAAATCAAGTGCATACGAGACAAAGTTTAAGCACAAAGTTATGTGAGATTGGTAGTAGCGTAAATAAAGCAGCATGCAGCACATACCAGGAAACCGAAGTTGAAGCCGGCGACGACGGTGGAGGCGATGGAGAAGGCGGCAAGCTCGAGGTCGCCCATGTGGCCGATGAACGCCTGCGAGACGACGTTGATCCCGTACAGCGCGATCCGCTGGAAGATGGCCGGCCCGACGACGCGCCACAGCTTCTTCGACTCCACCCACCACTCCCCCGCCACCCTCGCGCCGGCCGGCCACAGCTGCTGCTTCACCGCCTCCGCGTCAACGCCGCCGCGCGGCCGCAGCAGCGGCGCCGCCACCGACGTCGCCTCGTCCTCCATGACAAACACCACGTACTCGCCCGCTAACTACTCGCTTCGTACTTGGTTAACTCGATCCTCTCCTGCGAGTGCTGCGCGCGCGGTGATGGTGTGTGTGGAGAGAGAGGGGGTTTTTATGCGTACGCGAGTGGAGCCAAAATCAATCGATCGATCGAGACGTCGGCGGGCAAGGCTGTCACCTGCTCGCACGGCGCGCGCGCGTGTGAGCCAGCCAATCGCTCGATCGGCCGGTCCGATCTATCGGCTGGGCCGGCCTGTACTTATTTAGGCGAGAGATAAATAAAATAACAGTCAACAGAAAGCCAGCAAAAAGAGGACGATCGACTTCAGCGGGATCGGGGAAATCCGGCATGGAAGGGAAGATGCAATTTGCAATTGTTTTTGGTGCAGCGTCTGGTTCACGTGGGAGTTTAGCCGATCGATCTCTGCTCCTCTACTACCTTGTTCGTACCTACAGGTTCCACGTTACAAGTTATTTTGGGTTTGTAATAAATAAACTTTTTAAAGTATAAATAAGTTTATATAAAAACGTAGAAACATTTACAATACCATATTAGTATTATCAAACATTACTATTTTTTTATAAATTTAATCAAACATAGAAAAAGTTATTTACGATAAACCCAGAGTAACGTATAATATGGACGAAAAGATGATTAGGAAAAAGTACAAAATACCCCCCCCAAACTATCGAGGTCGGCCGAGTTACACCCCCGAACTACTACTCCATACTCATAAAGGAAGTCGTTTAGGACAATATTTAAGTCAAACATTGGGAATATAAATAATGAATAACTCTCAAGTTGTTGAGTTTTAAAATGTAAAAATTATATGTATAGATTTGTCTTGAAAAATACTTTCATAAAAATATACATATATCACTTTTCAATAAATATTTTTATAGAAATAAGAAGTTAAAGTTGTGTTTTGGAGACCGTGTCGCTGTCCTAAACGACTTCCTTTACGAGTATGGAGGGAGTACAAAACTAGACATTTTATACCTAGAACTTTTCAAACCAGACGAATAACCCCCCTAGCGCAATCCAGAGCGGTTTCGATCTTACGTGGCATACACGTGGCGGTGTCTACTCAGTGAAAAGTTAATTAAAAAAAGTGGGCTCCACCGGTCAGCTCCTCTATATGTTCTCCCACCTCCTTTCCCTTCCATATCTCTCTTGCTCCCTCTCTCTCTCTCTCACGGAAAGCCAGAAACGGCAGCGATGGGTGACTAGCGTCACGGCGGCGGGCAGTAGGGCGTTGGGCAGTACGGCGGCGGCTTGAGGGGAGGCCGCCGGGCTGGGGCGGCGGGCAGTGACGCTGCTTCTTGCGTCGTCTCGGCGCCATCACCATTTCGAGCTTGGTGAGGGCATTGGAGACGACGGGAGGGCGCGGCGGCTGGTGGGCCGCGCCGAGGAGGAATATGGAGTCGTCGTGCGGCGGCATCGCGGGGAGGGCGTGTGTTAACAGTAAAATTTGGTAATCGGCAAATACGTCATCGGCTTAGAATCATTATCGGCCGCAACATCTCGGAATCAGCCGATAGGAGTTATCAAGTCGCCAATAGTCGGGTTCCTGCTATATTTGGTTAAGGAAATCAATCTAATAAAGGAAGCTTATCCCTAAGTGACCGAGTTTAAAGAGGATGCGGCATGGCAATTTATCTATTAATTAGGAATAGTTTGTTAGTTTCCTTTTATCTTTAGGTTAGTTTCTTTCTTATCCGACAAGGACTTGTATCAACCCATGGGTATAAATATGTACACCCGGGGTCTATGTAATCAATCGCTACGATCAATACAATTCGGCGCATCGCCACCCTTTTTACTTATACTTTTGTTTTTACGTTTCGACGGAACTTGGCACCCGACGCGGGGCTGCATCGTCTTCGATCTCCGGCAAAGGGATAAGTCCAATGTTCAGCCGGTCCAGGCAATTGTATTGTCTACGTCGGCGTCGTTCAAGGCTGCATCAGTACATTCGACCTCTTGGATTGCTCTGGTTTGGATGATATATTTGCCTACCTATTTATCATATGTCTCTGTTAATCTAGTTTTAGCATATTTAGTTCTATCGGCTGCTTCTCGTTTTAGGGTTTCTGCCGGTATCTGCTAAATCGCGTTGCTAGATTAGATTAGCTTAGACATCTACCACCCTAAAAACTCAGTCAACGGCTTGATTGTCTAGATATTATGTTTCTTTTCATACTTAGTGTTGCATCAGTTAAGTTTGATCTACTAAGTCGTGCTTAGAACCATAATCTCTAGCCTGCTTCTTGATTGCCAATAAGGGTTTCATCGGGGTTTCAGCCGATGAGTTATCTGGATGTTGCATCGGCTCATAAGGATTGCATATACATATAAGTAGGATTTAGCCGATGACAACAAAGATTTCACTGTTTAATCTAATCTTATGGATTTCATGACATCGGACCTCCAGCCGATGTGTGATTTGACCTTCGGATCGATGCTTATTTATCATATCATTATTTGCCGATTGGTTTATACTGGATTATATTGTTATTTTATTACATCGTCGTCAGCCGATTGCCTTTATATCATTATCTACATTGGACATATAACTGATTGCTTAAACCCTATCGCTATCGGCTGGTATCGACATCGGCTGGAACTACTCCATCAGCTTGTCAGCCGATCGGTTGTTTTGATCTACTATTTGCATATCTTGTCAGTTGCAGGATCAAACTGACTGGCATGCTCGCATCTCGTCAATATTTGGACCTGCACAAGAGCTAAGCAGATCTCCCAGCCGGTGTGTTTGAATTTTTCGTCAACAGCGTGGCAGCGGGCTACGCGACGAGTCCGCTGCCCTCTCGAGCTCCTCGGCTACGGCATCTCTCTCTCTCTCTCTCATCTCATCTCTCTGGCGTTGCGGGCGGCGAGGACGGTGGTGGGCTGTGGCGTCGCTAGGAGCACGCGGCAGGTGGCGGACTGGCGGGCGGCGCCGAGGAGGGCGGCCGACGACGGGGGACGAGGTGGTGTGGCGACGCAGCAACGGCGGGCCGGGCGCAGGCGGGCCAAGCGGTGGCGAGCGCGGAGCTGGAAGTAGATGGCGCCGCTGGCATCGCCGTCCTCCTCCTTCTCCTCGTCCAGGCTACGCTGCCGTCGTGCGTTTCGTCTGGCATCGTGCTTCAAGGTCGCCTCATTGTCTTCGCCCACAGCCTCCCGTACACGTCCCCGACGAACGCAGCGGTGTCGGGGGAAGGAGAGAACCCGCCGAGGTCGACGAGCGGCGCCGTGAGGTCACCCATGGTCGATCCCTCCCTCGAGATCAAGCTCGGCCACGTCGGCATCAAGGCGTTCATGCAGGACCTCCTCCGCCTCCTCGTCTCGCGTCGCCGCCCTCCGACCGCCCCCTCGCGCCGCCGTCCCCCGCCCGCCCTTGCGCCGCCGCTCTTGCCTCCTCCGTCACCGCGCTCGCCTTCTTCGCTAGCATGCTCGCCTCGCCTCGCCACTGCCTCCGCCGTCATCCTCGAAGAAAGAGATTGGGAAAGAGAAATTGGGAAGCGAGCTCCGCCTCCTTCTGTCGGCCGCCCGCTCCGCCTCCGTCTCAACCGCCCGCCGCCCTCCGCCGCCGGCAGCGCCGCCTGCTCCCGCCCTCGTGCGGCCACCGCGTGCTGGTGAGAAGAAAGAGAGAGATGTAGGATCGAATCACAATAACTAAGCCAACCAGAGGGGGGGGTGAATGGTTGGTATACCCAAGAACCGAAAACTTTTAGCGGAAATAAAAGTTACCCTCGAAATCAACGGATCTCGGTCTGACCGAGATTGATCTGTCGGTCTGACCGCCTAATGAACGTCGGTCTGACCGATGTAGATTGATCGGTCGAACCGCCGAGAACGCCTGCCGTCGACTCCTGTCGCCGCCGGTCAGACCGCCGTGTGCCCGCCGTCGGACCGCCGCGATGCCACCGGTCTGACCGCCGGTGCACCGCCGGTTAGACTGCCAAAACCCGGTGAAACACAAATCGAAGAACTCTTAAAGTGGATGACGACTTTATTACTTCTCTCTTTGTTTACAAAGTGCACCAACAGCACTCCTTACAAAATTTCGACTAAACTCGAAACCCTAACTCAAAACTCAACTCAATTGCTTTCAAAAGCGATACTGGGAAGCCTCACGCTCCCCCTCTATTTATACATGAGGTAGGCAGCCTAAAGCCACGAACCAAACTCATACTAAGGGTCCTAAACACCTTAGGAAACCCTCTAGTACAAGAAAGAAACTTTACATAACCAATCGTACCAAATTTGGACTCCTTCCAAATTCGACTCCGCATCCCATACGCACACATACCTCCATCGTATGCCATATGGAATCTCCATCAACCACGTGCATCAACTCTAGCCTAAGTATCCCGCATGATCTCTGACCACTACAGATGTCGTCTTATCCCCAAGCCGACTCCCGGTCCATCACTGCAAATACTCTCCCGAGACATCGAGTCGCCTACGCATGAAATAAACAAAGAAACCATATTCCGAGACCAAGCTATCTCCAACTTGACTCATTAGTAGCAAACAACAGTATTACATACATATAGTATCTATCTAGAAGCCATAATCATGAAATAAACACGGATATCCAAACAAACAACCCGAAACCGAAACCGACACAGTGTCGGCCGGTCAGACCGCGGGCTGGCTGGTCCGACCACTCGATCACCGCCGGTCTGACCGGCAACACCTGCCCGGTCTGATCGGTCACATGAAATAACAGTACCTGTGATTCACCTGTAAATCCAGTCATCTCCAAAACCACTTCGTGAATAAATTCCAAATATCAAAACCAATAATCTCCAATGCCAATTGTTCATCACAGAATAATAATCAAAAACACCTTTGATTTTACAAGAGAGGGGGAGAGATTGGGATAGAGTAGAGAGAGATAGAGAGGGGTGGAGAACTGACAGGTGGGGCCCACTAATATTTTTTCTAAAAAATGCTGACTGGGCTGCCACGTGGACTCAAAATCACTCTGGATTGAGTCAGGGGGGTTATTTGTCCGGTTTCAATAGTTGAGGGTATAGAATGTCTGGTTTTTGAGTTCGGGGGTGTAATTCGGCTGACCTCGATAGTTCGGGAGGGGGGGGTAATTCGTACTTTTTCCAAAAGATTATAACCGGTAGAAGTGTCAATGGACGGATGGTCCAAA